TAACGTAAGAGAACGGGTGGACAAAGTCGATCGACCAAAAAAAATTTAATGGGTTAGGGCGGGGGTGTGAACGTGTTGAGAACGATGGTATGGAGCAAATGCTAGAAAATTAAACCCTCCAAATAGTTTATATAAGGCCAATAGTATGCTCGAACTTAATCTACAGGCAATAGCTAGCTAGGCTTGTTAGCTATATTCATTTCTAGCTCCTCCTCTTTCCTCAGGTTTTTTTCATGGGTTTCTTCTCTGTGTTTCTGTTCCTAATTCTCTTCTCTTTCGAAAAGGACATTGCTGTGGCAGCAATAAGTCCAGAACCCCACCTTCTGCCACACACTACTCACACAGTTGAAGTAAACTCTCTTCTACCAGCAACCACCTGCACCCCCTCCACCAAAGGTTAATTCTTCATTTCAACATCTTTCTCTCTCTCTCTCTCTCTCTCTCTCTCTCTCTCTCTCTCTCTATATATATATATATTCATATATTTTCTGGCATCCAGTATTTCGTTAGGCCTTGCTATATACGCTGTTAATTCCAATGGCGCATGGGAGTAGAATTTGCTATTATATAGATCTACTGTGAAATTCCCTCTAATATTCATATGCATAGAAAAAAATACACTCTTTTTTTCTTCTTTTTTTTAAGTTTAACACATTAAACTTATAAACACTACACAAATGCTATGACTTTGAACATTTCATAAAAAAAACAATTGTTCTAAATCACTACACTAGTTGATGATTTTTAAAATTTTTTAAAAAAAAACACACACACACACAAATAAAGAGCCCCATGCTTGGCCCAAAAAAAAAACCTAAACCAAATTTACTCAATTTAAAATAATAATAATAATAAATAAATAAAAAGCCCCGTGCCCCATTACCTTTATGTCTCTCTCACCTGCATGACGTGCATGGTCTTGTTACCCGTAAACTAGTGCCAGGCATGCACAGATGGATATAACTGTGAGTATATGCATAAAGAGTCACATGTATACATACACTCATCCCTTTCAATGACCAGGTCATACCAATAACAAGGCAACAATATTGGAAGTGGTACACAAGCATGGGCCATGCTCTATATTCCACAAATCATCCAAAACTTCAACCACCAAAAGTGATGACAAATACCACGCTCAAATCCTCAAGCAAGACGAAGCCCGAGTCAACTCAATCCACTCCCGCCTCAACTACAGAATCCACCACCCATTCAACCAGTCCGCCGCCACCACCCTCCCAGCCAAGTCCGGTCTCCTTCTGGGTTCAGGAAACTACTTTGTCACCGTCGGCCTCGGCACGCCCGCCAAGCAACTCTCCCTCATCTTCGATACCGGTAGCGACCTCACCTGGACCCAATGCCGCCCATGTGTTCGATCTTGTTACACACAGAGCGAGCCCATCTTCGACCCTTCTCTCTCTGCCTCATATAAAAACTTATCCTGTAAATCCGCCACGTGTACTCAACTCTCATCCGCCGGCATCCAACACGATTGCTCCTCCGCCTCGTCCTCCTGCCTTTACGGCATCCGGTACGGAGACGGGTCCTTCTCCATCGGGGATTTCGCCAAAGAAAAACTTACATTGACCTCCAAGGACGTTTTTGAAGGTTTCCTCTTCGGCTGTGGCCAAGACAACGAAGGCCTTTTCCAGGGCTCCGCCGGTTTGCTCGGTCTCGGCCGAAACAACATCTCCCTCGTCGAACAAACCGCCATGAAATACAACCGCTTCTTCTCCTACTGCCTTCCGTCAACTTCCAGCTCCACCGGCCATCTCACCTTCGGCAAAGGAGGAGGCTCCGCTAACGGCGTCAAGTTCACCAAGCTCACCACGTTATCCAAAAGAGCTTCATCGTTTTATGGCCTCGGCCTCACCGGCATCAGCGTCAACCGGCGCCAGCTGCCGGTTGCGTCCTCGGTCTTTTCGTCTTCGGGAACCATCATCGACTCGGGGACGGTGATCACGCGGCTGCCGGCGACTGCGTACAGGGCGTTGAGGGACGCGTTTCGGGAGGGTATGAAAAACTACAAGATGACTATGTCGTTTTCGCTGCTGGACACGTGTTACAATTTCAGTGGCTACAAGACGGTGTCGTATCCGGGTATTGCGTTTAGGTTTGAGGACGGGGTTACGGTGGACTTGGACCCGGCCGGGATATTGTATATGGTAAGTAGTTCGCAGGCTTGCTTGGCGTTTGCGGGACACAAGGATGATACTGGCTTGGGGATTATTGGGAATGTTCAACAGAAGAGGTTGGAGGTGGTGTATGACGTGGCTGGTGAAAAAGTGGGATTTGCCCCAGCAAGTTGCCCCTGAGTAATGAACATCGTCCATGGGGCATAATTGTAACACAAACTGCTAGCTGTAGAATAAAGCATTGTGTTACATATTTTTCTGTAATGGGATTGTATTGGGAAGTATCCAATCTTACCTTCCCCCCTACTTGCATAAAATAGTCTAATGACCAATCAAGCGATAGTATTTTATATAATAATAAAATAATCGAATGTATTGGGAGGGAAATTCGAACTCAAATACAAAAAGGGATTCACTGCCCTAATCAATTCTCCTAACTCACGTATGTTGTCGGTATTTTCAAATAATGCCACGTGTTGATGTGATGTTTCTCTTTTAAAATAGCAAAAGTAGAACAGTAATCTCCATCTCCTAATTTGGGCTTGTTTTGCTTTTGGACTGGACCAGGCCAACTCTAGCACAAAATGTCTTAAGAAGGACCCAAAAGAAAAGGTCAGTGAATTGGGAAGGCTTCGGCTTTGGCTTGGGCTTGGGCTTGGGCTTGGGGCGGTTCAACTTCAAAGTTTGACCAGTGCCTAGGGTTCAGCGTATTGGTTTCAGCGGAGAGGCTCGTCGGTCTGGAGTCTGTGTCTCGGGCTGCGCATCCTTAACTAACCACTTTCTGATTGCTTTGGTAGCAAAAACCAGACACAGAGAGAGGGAGACAGCCACAGCACGCCATGATGTTTTATAACAAGAGGACAAAGCATCATAAAAAATTATGTAACACCCTAGCGTCTTATATTTGGCTAATTAATTACCCTAATCAATTGGTTTAGTAAACCCGATGCTTTTGTCTTTTACAAGTCCACTTCATTTGTGTGGAAGAAATGAAACTCATCTGCATCATCAGGAACCTCACCGTATCCACAATCCATATCCATCCATGCTCTCGGCGTAGCAAGTAATCCACATCACACAATTATACAGAGAGCTCATAAATAAATAAATTGTTATTAGCACTTGAAAATAGGTGTTTTACATTTATTTTTAATATATATAGCAAAATACAGAGAATGATAAACCGTTCAAAATACCAGAAAATACTTTTAGTTAATGTAAATATTAAGATTTGAAATTATTAATTAAATGAAAATAATATGATAAATTTACACTTTTTTATATTAAAAATAATTAAAATTAAAAGAAAAATCAGATAATATATTATATTTTTATAGATAATCCTCAAGGGGGAGCCTCTAATTAAACAAATAAGGATAATCCTCAAGTTGGAGCCTCTAATTATTGATCATACTTACTTGGCCATGTCCTCAAAGCAACGCATCGCTTTAAAATATTTGTTTAATTCGAAACCAGCAGGCTAGCAGCCAAGCACACTAAAAAGTTGCAGAAAGAGAGAAAATAAATATAAAAGAATCTCGACAAAAAAAAAAAGTAAAATGGGGATTCCACATTGGTCGTCCGCCCTTTTTTATTATAACGCTCAACAACTGGATGGTTCGTATTCAATTCCCAAAACCAGTCGGGCCCTTTTTCATATTCTTGACAAGAGGCTTGACGCAGCCAGGTGGACTCATAAACCAAATTTGTTCCCCTTAATTTTTCTTTTTAACAAAGCGATATTATAAACTACTCTCGTGTAAAAGAAAAAAGACCGAATTAATCGACAAGGATGATATTTAGTCAATGTTATCTTACCACACCAACCAACCACTATAACGAAATTAAAACAAAATATATTTATTGTCGCAAAATAATCAAATATATACTAGGAAAGCAATTATTGAAGCACCGGTTACATGTCCCCTAAAAGAAATGTTCCATCTCGGTGTGTTTTTTGTGACCAGGAGTAAAGCAATTGGAAGCCGATCCAACACTCAAGTATTCTTCTTTCGTCACCCAAATACCTTTTTCGTAAAAAAATAAAGAAAAAACAAAATGATGACCTAAAACTCTGAAACTTGAGAGCCCACACAATGACAATGTTTCAATGGTGGGAAGAGGAGAGCCAAGTAATAAACTGCCGAAAGGTCCTACTCATTTTAACCGTTTACTCAATTTCGGTACAATACCCCCACTATCCCCCCAGTCCACAAGTTTTCTTTCTTCAGTTCTACTATCATCAGTTGTCAATAGACTCTATACATATGTAGAAGGAATTTGCATCGATAGCCGAATAATTTTGATTCGTTGATATATGTGCATATGAACGATTGACGATAGGACCAATAACAAAAAAATTAGTGGCATTTCCAAATTCTTTCTCCATCATTGCTAGGTGCCAACTACCTCTATTTACCATATAACACTAATGTCCTTTTATCAATCACCATTGTCTTGTCACCACTATAAAACCTTTCGAATATAAAAACGAGTATCAAATGTTTAATGACGTATAAAGGAATGTGACAATGACGGATGTGGCAGTAACCTTTTGTGACGTCCCACCACCAAAGTAAAAAGTAAATGGTAATTAGAATTAAAAAGGGCGGACCAAAAAAAGTAAAATCATGCATTGGTAATTTGGTAGAGACAAGAGAAAAATAAGGAAAGTGAGTAATCAGTTGCATTGTTATTTGTTGTTACCATTTCATTTTATTATCTACATCGTCATTCCACCAATCCCCATGAAAAAGGGACTTACCCCACCGTCAAAACGACTTACAATTAACAACAAATAATTTAAAACTTTTTTTTAATTAACGAAAAAAGGAAACAATTAAAAGCTACCGCCGTTTACGAGTTTCAGTCGTCGTCGTCGTCGTCGCCGGACTTATGATGATTCACCTTCGCAAAGCTCAGTCCACGCGCTACGGCTGGACCATGCGGCGCGTCCACCACCGTCGCCGACGACATCTCCATCTGGCAAACCCTGACCGCGCCGACTAACTTCTCGGGCAGCTCATCCTCTGCCTGCGCCTCCACCACAAACCCCATGTCAATCGTTACGCAAGTCACGTATCTCAATGCGAGTCTCAGAATGGCCTTCGCGATCCCCGAGCTCGCGATATCCACGTCAATTTCAAGGTAGTTAGGTCCTCTATGGTAATTACACGTCAGCGCCTTCCCCAACAAACACGCACTGTAATTCCCCACCGTCTTCTCGACGATCCACGGCCCTTTCACAATCCTATTCACGATTTTGAACCGCTGGTTCCTGAATGAGTCATCCCCGTTGATGAACCGGTATAGGAGCGAGCTGGAGGGGATAGGATCCTCTGTGGCGAAGTAGAACACCGCGCTGTGCTGGTCCTTACCGGGGACTTGTAGATTCACAGCGAAAATGAAGCTCTTCATCGACTTGCCTTGGGCCTGGGCCTTCCGCAGCGCGTTGGCCACGCGGTTATCGGGGCGGGCGAGTACGTTATCGAGTTTGGTGCTGGATCTGAGCCAGTCTGTGCCGCACGGCGTGAGTAGGTAGTCGCCGGCGGGGCCTTTTTGCTTTTTCGTCAAGTAGTTCTTTGTGCGGAGAGAGAATAGGTCGCCGGGAGGTGAGGCCCAGCCATTGGTTCCGGTGGTGAGGTCCACGTAGCGCAGTGATCCGCTGTGGATGGACTCGGAGATCCAATCGGCGGTGGAGGTTGTCGACTCGTCGGATCTGGAGCATTTTCCGTTGTGATCGGCGACGGAGCTCCGATGCTTTTGCTTGGTTGTTGGACACATGGTTTTGTCTCTCTTTGTTTTTGCTTTCTCTGTGAGACTGACTCTCCTCTATCGAAGTGAGCACCTCATAATGGAGGCTACGGTGGTGTATAATAGTTTAGAAAACAGAAGTGCCCTTGCTTTTGGAGAAAATTGCGATACAGCCCTGGATTTTGGGACAGCTAATTTTACATAATTATTTCCAATTTAATTATTATCGCATCTGTGACACATAATTTACACGACTCTATATATATTTATATGCTTTTTTTCATCTTCTTCCTTTTTTGGGAAAATTAAAAACATTGGCCACCATTTCGCACACCTAAAAACAATTTATTTTCATTTTCCTTACCTTAAAATTTTTTATTTTTTTATTTTTTTGAGAGAGCCTTAAATATATTTCATGATAACATGTTCAAGTAAAATTTATAATTAAGCATGCTTTTTTTTTTTGTTGATTAAAAACTAAGCATGCTTAAACACTCCCTTTGACTCCCTACTGAAATTAAGAAAAGAAAAAACACAGTCCCTTTGACATGAGAGAAACTCTCATGCAACGGGTATAGCACTTTTGCTATTTCGTCTAATAATGCAATGACACGTAAGATAACTTTGACACTTGTCATTGTGTTATTGGCTGTAAATAGCAAAACAATGTTATCCCCATTATAGATATATAAAAAATTGCTTTGACACATGCCTTGAATTAAATAAATCCCATGTAGCAAATCAGGGTCTTGGATAATGAATATATTAATTGCTGACAATTAAATAAAATTGCATGTACTAATAATAAACCCACATGCACTTGGATAAAAAAAAATTTGCCCATGTGACACTACTATTGCATTGCACGGTTGAAAACAAGAAAAAGCGGGAGATAGGTAGGTAATAAGTGACAAAATTAAGATTCATTGTACCTAATTTCCTTGGTTTGATTAAAAACGAATTCCAAAGTAAGTTTTGTGTATTCCCCGTTATGATTTGGGGGAGGGGTTTTAGATTCTCAAAACTCAAAAGGAATAACTTGATTTTGAAATGTACTTGAGTTTGAAGACATTATGTTGTCAATTCATAGTATGGCTGCGTTTTTATTATAGAAATATATTTAAGCACCATGTTTGTCTTAAAAAAAAAAATTACAAAAAAATACTTAATGGTTTTTTTTTAAGTACAAGTAACTATGATGTCATGAGAGTTTGAATATAAGACTTATGGCCTTCAAGTCAAGACCCTTTTCCACTAGAGTAAACGGCGTTAACAAGAAAATGCTTAAGTTGAGTAAGGAATAAGAATTTATATGGAATGTCATTCTCCTCATAAAACACCACTATCGTCTTTACAATTTTCTAATAATTATCATGACTTTATCGATTGCCTTACCAACTTTTAAATTTCTAATTATTGTTATTTGAATTTGATTGCCCTGAAAAACTAAATTCCAATCCAAGCAAAGTTATCAATCACTTATAATTTGGGTTATGTTATTTTACCAATTTGCGTGTTATATTGTAGGTCTATGTTCCATTATAATATTATATACAATTGTTGTAACATTAGTGAATTCGTAGCACGATCTATCTTTTGCTTGCTGATGTGTTAAGCTCAAGTCAAGCCCAAATCTAAGCTAAGATCATGATATGTTTGAGTTTTGATTTAGAGATTAATTCCAACTCTTTATCTTCCTATTTATTAGGACTAAAATTTCTCCATTTCCTGATGTTTAATTTCGACTTTTCTTACGAGTCAAGGGAGAATAAGTGGCATTTTATGTAATTTATCATATACAAGAGGGGGATTTTCCGAAGTGAAATGGAAAAAAATAAAAAGAAAACCTTGACAGAGAGTTTGACTTAACGAATCTGACGATGGAGAAAGCAACACGAGTGAGGTAATAATATAGACAAAATAACGATAACCGAAATACTCAATAATATCAAAATAGGTGGACTCCCACATTCGATTAAGAGGCTCGGATTTGACACGTGGCTCACAGCTAAGAGCATCTCCAAGGGAGGAGAAAAACTTTCCCTCACGGGATACCACCAAAAAAAGAGTCAGCATCCACGTCAGTATCCCCAGCCAATTAACTCCTGACAGCTGTCAAACACTTCACACTTCTAATTTTATTTTTTTTCACGCCTGCTCCATAGCTAATATCAATGTTGGCCTTACAACTTATGACAGCAGAAATTACGCCTCCACATAAATCCAAATAATGACACCAATTTTCTTCAAATATTTAGAGTGTTGTTAAACGAGTTCTAAAATAAACTGAATAATAATATTATTTATATTAGATTGTTTATATTTTACAACCTGATATTTTAAATTACCCTTGAAAAATGGAGAGATGATCAAATTCGAGCACACTGCCTTTGCCAACTTAGCCCACGATTGCTTCTTTATTTTTTTTTCCTGTTGATAAGTATATTACATTGTTCTATAAATAATTAGTTTATTAGTTTAATTTACGTCGTCGTCGTCCTATGACTTGCAATATGTTGACTGCATTTTTGTATTCTTAGACTTAATTGTATGCCATGTCGACTACTAAGTCAAAGCCAAAAAAATTAAATAAAAAAATGTCAAAGAGGACCCAATGATGGTTATGTCGACCATTTATGGGTGGAGACTTTTCTAGACAACTTCCGTTTGTTAACATCACAACTTTTATTTATTTATTTATATATCTAATAAAATTGGAATGATAAGAAGAAAAAGAAACACGACAATTCAAAAAGCGTCCAAGAAAAATAAAAGTCTATAGGAGTATAATATAATTCAGAATAACTTGAGGAGAACGGTTCCTAAAATGCTTTAGGGCAAAATAAGTTGATGCTCAGTACAATTTAATAATTCAGAATAATTTCAAGGGCATTTGAAAGAAAAGTCTCTGGCTTCCCATACTCCAAATGAGACGAGGGAGGCATTTCATGATGTTGGCTTTGTAAGATAACATTTAAACATCCAGGTTCAAAGGGGGTTTTTTTTTGGGTCGAAAGGTTCAAAGGTTCATGTCATCTAGAGAAAACATTTTGTATCATGCAAATGGTTTCAAATCACAGCAGCAGAAGAAAATGAAGGTGGATTCAAAGCATAGATAACAGCCGCAAAATATCATATCATTATGTAACAAAGCTCACTGATTCAAAACATAACCATAACAATTCATCAACAAATCTAATTGGTAATGGCAACTTCAGCAACTACACACACAAAGTTCTGATTCATATTAAGAAGCTTTGATACACCTACTAATATGCCGGAAGATAGGGTGCCGGATACCATCCACTACGACACGGCAACCCCTTGGGCTTTAGGGTCACCTAGTTTCCAACTAAAAGAACCACACAGGTACCATCCATAATAAGAAATCAATCATGTATAACATTAGAGTTCAACCAAACAGCATGTACAAAACGTTAATCTCCGTATCATTGGATTAGCAGGCGAAACACAGAATGAATGAGAAGCCAGTTTAGCATGCCCGTGTAAGGATAGATCATCCGGACATGGGGCTAAGCCTAGACCATTAATCCCAACATTCTTGCAATGTGAAATGCTCCATGTTCAATATAAGACAGGAAGTGTGGCATTAGTAACACAGATCAAGAGCCATGACACCATCTTCAACTTGTTTCTGTAAGTTTGATGAATTTCAATCTATTTGTCCTGACTTATGTACGGTTCTAGGGAGGTCAATAATTACTGGAAATCCTTTCTCAAACACAGGATAAAGTTCAAACAACTAAACACTGTCACAATGCATTAATTTTTAGTTTCCTCCTCAAATTACTCAGCAACCGAATCAAACGCATATGAAAGATACAGATGGGAAATAACACAAAAATAAAACAGAATGTTCGTTCCTCTTGCTTGGATTTCCTAAGAAACCAAAATGAAGCTATTTGTAAAACTCATTGAACTTATAACTTGCACAAACAATCTAATAGAGAACTGCACAGCCTATACTCAAAAGAATGAAAAAACTCTCTGAACCAGAACTGAAAATAAATACTAAAAAAGGCATAAATTTTAACAACAATCAGATTCAAAAGGGTCTCTGCCAATTCTTAAACCGTGTAATTCATAAATTCCCAGCAATCCATAACCTATTAATTAGTACACAGACCAGTAACTGCAATGACTTGCTAACTCAATTAACATTCATACACAAGAAATCAACAAATTAGGGTTTTCATATTCATTTTATTTTTCACAAATCAACCTGTTCCTTAGTGTGCTTTTCTCCTCTGGGGCTGCCTCTCTTTCTCAGTAGCTAGTCTGTATATCCAATACACCTAACATGATGCAAAACGAGAGAATATCAGATATCAGAGTCTAATTGAATCCCAACCCTAGGAGCTGAAACCAAAAAGAAAAGAAAATAAAGAAATGGAAAAGTTTTGAGAGTACCAAAGCGAGGACATGAGCTACTATTAGGAGAACGACGATGAACGGGACTGCTTCGAGGATCCATGGCCGAAGAGATATCTGCTGCGGATTCGCCATTCGATCGAAATCAGAGGGTTTAGAAGAGAGAGAGATGGAGAGTTGAGCACAGCAATCAATCAGGGTTAACAATTTCGCTGGTTTACTGTACTGATGAAGTTTACTAGAGACGAGCGGAACGTGACACAGGCAAATGCGAACGGAGCGAGAGTCGGGTTAGTTTGACCCGAATTTTAGCCCAATGAATATTCAGCCTCATGGGCTCACGGCCCACGGTCTTATCCAATCCAAATCCAACAAAAAAAGAAAATAAAACTAAAACCCCCATAGGCGGTTCACTGGTGTGGTGTCCGTAACAGGTACGGTGGTAAACGTGGCAGCTTTCTCGGTCTCTAACCAATCTCTCTCCTCTTTCTGTGATCACTGGAGCATTACTACAAACGGTTTCGCTGCAAATCTATATACCTGTGATGGGTTCGTGAGCTCTGCTTTCCTCTATAATTTTGCCGCCGATGAGGAATGTCTTTGCTACGCTCAAGCGTCACCGCCATGTCACTCTGCTATCCCAAAGTACCGCTCTTAACCTTCTGCTTTACCTCGCATTTGCTATGGGATTTTACTTGTTCTCTATTTGGTCGATGAGAAAATGCGGGAAGAAAATTGCGTTCGTAAAATTCAATTGCTTATTCGCTAATTTGTCGATTTGTTGCTTAATTATTTTGACTAGTTTACCACATGGATCGCCTAATTGCCTCATTAAATTCATTGTGATATTTACACTCGTGGATTATGATACCAGTAATTGTCTCTATAGTCTTCACTTATTAGTGACGTATTGGGTTTTTTTTTGGTGCAGCTTTACGCCATGACAGAAATATGGAGACCATTATACCGAAATGCATACCATTGAGATACCATAAGGATGTTGAAATTAGATGGAAACAAGATAATTGGTTTCCATATCAGTTGTTACAACGACATTGGTAAGTTCATGACTATCTTGAGTATCTTCAGTGATGGGGAATTCAAGGCACTTGTTTCTCTTGCACGAAATGCTTCATTTTCTTCATTCTTTTTGATGCAGTATTTCCACCAGCGTGCATGGTGAAAGGCCAACTGCAGAGTATGCAAAGTTGAGGAAGGAATCACTAGAAACTCAATTTAGGCATGCTCTTGGAGCTTATGGCTCCAAAAGTCCATTTTTGGCTTTTTATAGAGCAGCAATTGTTTCATTTTATGTGTTGAAGCTGACAATCTGGCAATGCTTTGTCCATGACATAAAAAAACGCGCCGTCAAGGTAATTGACAGATACTTTATTTATTTTACATGCCATTGTGTTGCATATTCTTTTAGTTTTACGTTGCTTTAGTGATGATGTGTCTGCGTCTTGTAGCTGATGTGCAAGCACTATGATCTGGAAGCATTACCCAAATCCTATACTTCAAATTACCTCTTTGGATATCCGTAGACTAATAGTTGTAGTTCCATTTTATCTGTTTGGCACATTTTGACTGTCATAAAAGTTAGCATATACGTAGTTCCCCCATTTCTTCCTCCAATGGGAAAATGAGAAATCCTTTTTTCATGATTTAAAACACGCAACCGTCTGAAATTTAATGTGATCTATTGCAGTTTCGGCAAACTCTTATCCACTTGGGACCTTTCTACATCAAGGCAAGCCACTTTCTTTGTTATGAAATTTTTAATACACCCTTTTCCCCGAATGAGCAATAACATCTAATGAATGCAATCTTATATCATTCAATATCTTATTTCGTGATGGCAAGATGTACCTAGTTTACCCAATTATGTTTGAATTTACAGCTCGGGCAGGCTTTGAGCACTAGGCCAGATATATTACCAACTGTATACTGCCAAGAGCTTGTTAAGTTACAGGTTACTAGCTTCTTCCTCCCATGAGCCCCTGTGATAGTGGGTTATGTGATGAAATGTTATAGCTTCCACTATCATAGATCTCTTTACTTCTTCATTCTAATCAAACCATTTTCTTATATAACAGGATCAAATACCGCCATTTCCAACGCGTGTTGCAATTAAATCTATTGAATCTCAGCTGGGTGGTCCCATTTCACAACTTTTTGCTGACATCAGCCCAGAGCCTGTTGCAGCAGCATCCTTGGGGCAGGTCTATAAAGGTTAGAGAGCTGTTTTTTTCTTAATGGGAGAAAAAAATTTCCTTCGATGTATATGCTCATATAAAGCATCCCATTCAAAACTTTTTGCTAGCATGTCTCTTGAATTTCTACAGTGATGTTCAAGAAAAAGATGTATACACTTCACAAGCTGAATGGTTTATTTTGTTGTTTCAAGTTTTGCAGCTCACCTGCACTCTGGGGAGCTGGTAGCCGTTAAAGTACAAAGGCCTGGTATGTCACTTGCATTGACCCTTGATGCCTTATTATTCCATATGATCGGGGGCCAATTAAAGCGATTTGCTAAGGCCCGCAAAGATCTACTTGTAGCAGTGAATGAGATGGTGAGCGTTCTGGATTTCATCTCATGTAGAGTGACTTCTATCATTTCTCTAAATCTCCATTATGTCTGAGAATGTAGACTTTGGGTTCTTTTTCTAGCGTTTACAAGTATACATGTGTGCACACCTATTGATGTGTTTTCCAAGTCGGTGATTGTCATAAAAATGGAAAACTTTTTCTAACATATGCTATCATTGTTCCCCTACAGTGGAGTTTCCTCTTGTTTTCCAAACTTTTCTCTAACATATGCTATCATTGTTCCCCCACAGTGGAGTTTCCTCCTGTTTTCCCATTTCTTTGTTCAACTTCATTTTGTTTCTTATAACATTGACAGTGTACTGATGTTCGGTGTTTTATGGTCCCTATTGAATGAACAGGTGAGGCATATGTTTGATGAAATTGATTACATCCGAGAGGCAAAAAATGCTGACCGTTTTGCTTCTCTCTATGCTTCACGCCCAAGTAAGTTTTCTTGAATGTGTAATAAGTGCATGTGTTCTTTATGTGAATACTATACCCAATAATATATAATACTCTCACCAGTGTTTACAGGATTGCCTGCTTCTTGGGGCATCTTCTCTTGTAGGAACTTTCTGTAGTGAATTTCTGTCTGGAATGTGCCTAAACATCTTTACCGGTCACATCCATGTTCGGCCTGTTTGAATTTCAATTTTCTGTATTTGTACTATTTGAGGGCTAATAAATTGCTTGTTTTGCCATGGATTCTTGTTCAGAAAAATACAAATTGAGCAAATTATTAGATACCATGATTTATATTTTCACTTGTAGGAATTAATTTATTATATAAGTTGGTGCTTTGGCTCATTTTGAAAGAGCTAGTACGCATTCCATGATAATTACTGTGCTATGCCAAATGGCACTTCTTGTGTAAGATTGGTTTTAGAGAACAATTTGTCATCTTCTGTTTTATGTGTAATGTCTACAAATTGAGCTGTTATATCAGTAGAACTTCTTTATGATGGACAGGTGATGGGCAAAAAGGTGATTCAAAGCCTACAGCTAGGAGAACTCTTAAACATAAAGAGGCAAACACTATAAAAGTTCCAAAAATATATTGGGACCTTACCCGTAAGGGTGTGCTTACAATGGAATGGATTGATGGAATTAAGCTTACTGATGACGTTGCCCTAAAGATGGCTGGCCTGAACAGAAAAAAACTAATTGACCAGGTACTTGGCGCGAATAGTTCAACATATATGTGCAGTGGCAGTTTTCCATGATTTTTTTTTCCACTTGTGCCACTGTAGAAATAGGAAATAAAGTATTAGGCAGTAGATTACACAAACGGAGTTAAATAATTTAATTGTGAACAGTTAAATTATAAGTTTTCTTGGTTTAAAAAACCTAGAAAGGTCCAGATCTGATTGGATTTAATACTTGGGAAAAATTAACTAAAGTGACTTGTAAGACATCTTGTACTAGGCCTATAGCAAAACTTGAATACCATAGCCCTGTCCTTACATATGTTTATACCAAAGCCATGCATACTCAATAGAAAGTCACATGTTCGTTACACTGAGTTTTTAAATGACTTGGAATGGACAGGTCTGTATTCTATTGTAATAACATAACATGAAACAAAATAAATGTGACTCATAATGTTCAGATAAAGAACTAGAGAAATGGTGACTAGTGGACTGGTTCAAAGGCTTATTGGGCTAGCTAGGTCTATTTAGATGCTCCTGCAACAACTTGTGTGGAACACGAGTTCCAGTTGTATCTTAGGTAGTAATACTGCACATGATTTTTCTGTGTTATTATCAAAATTCTCATCCTGTTTTGCTTCTTCTTCTAGGGATTATATTGCTCTTTGAGACAATTGCTTGAGGTGGGATTTTTTCATGCCGACCCGCATCCTGGTAACCTTGTTGCCACTAATAGTGGTGCTCTTGTGTATTTTGATTTTGGAATGATGGGTGAAATTCCTCGACATTATCGTGTTGGACTTATTCAAGTGGTAAGAGCTGTTGAATTATTTTTAACTCAGGGCACAAGATCAAATTATTGTCAAGCTAAAGATGTTCTTCAAAATAGAGTTTTTAAATATGCATATATGGCATTTTGTCAGTGTAAGGGTATGCCTGCCTCAAATGATATCCTTTTTAGAAATGAGAACCTAACTGTTCAATTGTATGGGAGGTTTGGGAAAAGGTAGGAGGATTGCACCCCCTTTGATATTTTTTTAAATCACTTATATGTAAAATTTCATATTCTTGGCCTCTTGGCTAGGGGAGTTTATATATATGGACACCTGAATGAAAAAAATTTGTATTTGGTTTCCTCATGATTATGGTGTTGTTTTAAATCACTTGTATCTCGTTCTGTTATGCAGTTTGTGCATTCTTATTCTTGTATTGTATATTGACTTATGGTTGTGTTAGTTGATAAGTTTCTGTTTCTTTCAGCTTGTGCACTTTGTTAATCGTGACTCCCTGGGTTTGGCAAATGACTTTCTTTCTTTGGGATTTATTCCTGAAGGGGTTGATGTACAATCAGTTGCCGATGCCTTGCAAGCATCCTTTAGTGACCGGACTAGACAGTCTCAAGATTTCCAGGTTTTTGCCTCTGCTCGTTTTGTATATCCATGTAGAACATGTTTGTATATGGCTGTTCACTTCAATAGTTGTTTTAGATAAGGAATTCAACATAGGGATATTAGGATGATACAAGTTATGCCGCCACTTATGTTAATCTATGCAGGGCTTCTCACAATTTTTTGCTTGTTTTTTCCATTTTTCGCTCAGCCATCTTTCTTGCATTTTGCAGCACATTGTCATGATGGGCTAAAGGAATGTCCTTCCTGGCTCAAGGGATGTATAGGGAAGTTGGCAGCCAACTTTTCTATTCCTGTGCTCTAAGAACTTGGAAATTCATTCATATGCATATGGCATTTAGGGGTATCCAATTTGTTCATTCTGAATCTTAACAGTATGTGACCTTACTTAAATTGAGATGGTGTGGCTAGGACCTCTAATGGGAATCTTCTTAGTCGGACTAAGGCTCAAATGCTTATAATTAGATGTTCAACTGAGAAATCTGTGCAATATATGCACACTTCTTAGTTCTTTTCTACTTGTATGTAGTCACATTTAAGAGCATGCATCAGCATATCAATTTTTTTTTTCTTTTCAATAATGAACTACGTATAATATTCTGTAGATTACTTTGAATCTATATGAACATGATGCTTGGATTATAGTTAAATGAACATACGTATGTTAGTTTCTGCTAGTTGACTTTTTGATGAAATTGACATCCTCTTGTCTTGCTTATCTCCTTGTTGGGCACTTCTCCACTCAGTAAAAGTATGCCCTTCAATTTAATTCTTGCAATGGATTACAGGGAATAATGGACCAACTCTATGATATTATGTATGAATTTAACTTCTCTCTTCCTCCGGACTATGCCCTGGTGATAAGGGCCCTGGGATCACTAGAAGGCACTGCCAAAGTCCTCGATCCTGCTTTCAAAGTCATTGAGAGTTCATATCCTTTTGTGATTGGAAGACTTCTGGCTGACCCAAATCCTGACATGAGAAGAATTTTAAGACAGCTTCTCATACGTAATGATGGATCCATAAGGTGGAATAGGCTAGAACGCCTGGTAGGTTGCCTAATCTCTTTGTTTCCCATAATCTAGCATAGTTGATGCATAAATAGAATCGTGTATTTGCACATAACTAGACAGATTCGTATGTATTTTCATGAGCATAGTTTTAAAAGGTCCTTTAAACGATTAAAGTTCACCTAGTTGTTTCTGCTTCATGAGGACTCTAATCTTAAATGAATCTGCAAATTGTCTTACACACTTAAATTTTGTAACACTGACCTGGTTAATACATTATAACCTTGTGTACATGTCAGTGGAGTGGAGTATTGTTCACATATGGGATCCCCCAAGCCAGTTTACTGCATATCATCCCTTCCCTTCTATTTTGAAGATATTACTCGTAAAAAGTTCTTTTTGATAACTTTTACTATAATATGAATTAGTCAAATACTTGTATTTTTATCCACTTTCAATGTTTTTACCAGGCATCTGTTTTTTGTTCCAGATTGCAGCAATATCCGAACAGGCTTCTGAGTCTGCTGAGGAGCACCCTAAATCTGGGGAGAGTTCTCCAAATCCGTTGAGAAGTAAATCATTTGACATGCATGCTGTTGTTGCCGCCACTGAAGATCTTTTACGTTTCATTCTCTCTGAGAAGGGTCAGAGGGTGCGTGTATTCCTTGTTCGGGATATAATTCATGCAGCTGATGCTTTTCTTGAGGATGAAGTTGTCGGTTGCATGTTCGACGAGAAGCCTGAAGCCAGAGGCTCACCTGAGTCTGAGGTTGTTCTATGAATTGTGTTTCTACTCCTCCATAATAGATAATTTGATAAGCAAGTGGATTAGGAAACATGCAGTAGTATCTTGTATGGTGAGGTTGATTATCCGTTATTTTCTTCTTGTCGCAGGGACACGACACGCTCAAAAGGGTCGTAAATGGGTTTCGGTATCTCCGTCAAGCTGTAAAGTTGGCCCCAGAGGTGTGGACAGAAATGCTTGTACGCATGGCACTCACACCCGAGGTTCATAGATTTACATTAGACATTCTTTCATCGCTGATCATTCATTTAAAAGGCAAAATCCCAGAAACTACTTGGGTTTGTATATCTAGACTTTTGCACAAGATGGCAAAAAACCGCAGCTCTTCTGAATTTTGAAATTATAGTATATTTTGATTCAAGTTTTATTGCAACCCTTTTTTACCCGTTTGCAATGTGTTTCCATGATTGTATATAACGCAAGGAGTACTTCGCACTCAAAATGAAAAGAGGAATGCTTGTCGAGCAATAACTTTGTGGTGAAGTTGAGGGTTTGCTTGAAACCCACTGTGCGAGTTCAAAGAGTTGATTGCTTACCCTCAAGCTCAACCATTCATATCTTGCTTCTTGTCCATTTGATTCTCTTTAGTTTTGACCCTCAAAATTTAGTAGAGGCTCGCTCTTTCAAGAACTCCTTCGACCATGGCCATGGGGCACTCACCGGGCCACCGGCCTATGCCTGGTGACCTTATCGCAAGGGAATTAAGGTGAACCAGAGAAAATTAGAGAATCTTAAAGCTCTCATTTATTGAAATTGACCCCTCGTTAGTCTCAAGATAATTTATATTCGTGATGGTGAAGGAATGTGAAACTTCGACAAGTATGAGAAATGGAGACAACTCCTCTTCAAGAGAAACTTCTTGTATGTATTGATGAATATGCAACTCACTAGTTTTTGTCGGTGGATATTTGTGAGTTTTTTTGTCCTTGTTCATTTCGGATTGTTTTGAATTTATGGATGGATAGACCAGAGAGTTAGAAAGGGCTCTTCCCTTTTGTTTTTTTGTTTTCTTTTTTAAGAAAAGTGATTATGAAATGGTATGTGTTTGACATTTTTATACAATGGTGTTTTGAAAGTTCGGTGGGAGAAGATAAACTGTGGGGTTTTGCTTAAAATAACTAAATCGGTGGCCTTTGCAAACCATAGTAGTTGTTGACGTTTAGAAAAATATTGAAACCTAAAATATCCATAAGTTGTGATCCATGCAACTGCAGTTGTAATGCACATTCTATATTTTAATATCTCATCTAACTCCCCATAACTCAAGTGATTAAGAGCAGTCATTTAGCACCTAAGGTCTGGTGCTCAAATTCCCTCCCTTTTTAAATTTTTTTTTAATAATACGGAAAATGAAAACTACAAGATAAAGCCTCTCGGGTAAGAGCGCCCAAAAAAGTCGAAGTAAAAGGGGAACAAACAGATAATGGGAGACCAACATCGCTTGTATTAAAAAAATATCTTATCTAACTCCAAGTTAGTTGACTACTATTTGATCCTATTAATTTGTTATGTTAGAATAAGTTAATCGGAGGACTGATCACTGGTCAAAGGAAAATTGGCTTATTAATTTTGAGATTTCAAAGCATAAATACAAGTTTAATTAATGTTGCTCGTTTTATGCAGCTGTGTTATTAGAGAGAGAGCGAGAGGTCTAGAATTTTCTTGCAATAGTTCCACCGCCCGTCCATTGATCTAATCTTCACGCACAAAATGCTGATTGACTCAACTATACATATTGACCTCAAGTTAAAAAACACCTCCCATTGCTTGCTTGCAAAATTGGATTGCCCTGGATTTGACTCGGTCTCGCTTCATGCTGGGGCGACGCGTGTGACTCGCTCCTCGCCACCAGTTTTACAACCCAACAAAACAAACTAACTAACCCCCAATTTAATCATTTTTTAATTAAATTAAAATTACAGTTTTTAATTCTGAAATTATCTCGTGAATTTTTTTATTCCATTAAAAAAGTTTAGTAATTATTGATTGCTTCCTTCCGCTGCTTGCGTTTGCAAAAACTGAAACCAAAAATAGAAGAGAATCCGCTTTGGCTTCTCTCACTCTCGTCGTCCTTTTCTTACCTTCGACGACCTTTTAATTTCTCTCTCTATCTCTCTGTCACTTCTCTCTATGGCATTTCCTTTCTTCAGGTACTTTCTCTCTCCCCTCCCTCTCTCTTTCACATTTCATCTTAATTACCGCCTAATTTTCTCTTCCAATTCCTCATCTCCAAGGTGTTTCTTGTCATGTTGATGAACATCAAGATCCGTATATTGCGTCTTAACTTTTTTTATTCTTTTTTTTTCAATGATTATATAATATAGTGTAGAATTTGTGTTTTTAATTTTGATTTTCGCGTGATATGCAGGTTAAACTCAGCAATTTATGATTCGAATATGATATTCCTGGAGTGATTTGAGCTATATTGGCGTGCAACAATAGGTCGTGTCATTCATATCATTGGTTTTCTATATATAGCAATCACTGTAGCTGTTTTTCTACAATATCTAATTTCGGTCAAAGAAACAAGAAGCGAGCAATTTGAAAATTCAAGCAACGAGAAGATGGGTTATCTCAATTCCGTTTTGTCACCTTCAACCCAGGTTCATGCTGACGACCCACCTGTAAGCGGCGGGGGGCTCAGGTTATTGAACTCTCCCATTTATCAATTTCTGTTTTTTTGGTTTGGATCTGGAGTCTCTCCAATTGGTATATTTTTTTATGGATTGTCATATATTCCTTTTGTAGCATTTTCTTTTATAGGAACCTATGTTTGTGTTTTATTTCATGTATTATTTTGACTTGTGATTTATTGGGTACATTTATTTTGTGAAGCTCTTCAGGAAGCAATTCTGAATTTGGGTTTTTGTCTGATCTCATGCATAAGTCTAAGTTTTGAGGAAATTTTGGTGTGTAATTTGGATTGTATGATGCTTTTATTGTATTATATACCTTCATGAGATGACCTATGAATTCTGGTCCTGGTGATATTTATTTTTTAGGGAAGATTTTCGTTGATTTGGCTATTGCACTAGACCTGAGCTATGTTATTTATCTCAATTTAATTGGATGGTTGGGTAAAGGGTGATAGAATTTAGGTCCATCAATCATTTAACAAGTGTTATACAAAAACAGAGGGGAAAATATATGACATGCATGATCACAGAAACTTGTAATTTATGTTTTGTCGTGTCCGGGCTGCACCCGTGTTGCTACATCTGCCTTAATTACCGTTTGTCGTGTTCGGCACCGCCAAACATAAGGATTGTGCAAAGCATTGTTTTTGTTTTGCTGGTTTGCTGGATCTTCCAAATAATGCTGTCTGGAATTTTGCGTTTGTGGACACGCCGAAAAAGCTTTTCATTGGCATTATGATTGTGTGACAAAATATGTATTTGTTTTTAATCTCCACGTGCGTGAGCGTGGAACTCATTTTGGAAACATGTACCTCATTGGATTTTGCTAAAAAGTTACGGTTATTTCCCTTCCTGCATTGACCCCTGAAATTTGGTTCTTAAATGCTATTGTAATTGGATATGGATATTCACCTTTGAATTCTTTACTGTTTCTGTTACATGTCATTTTTTACAATGGTTCGGACTAGTCTCACTATGTGTGATGTTAAATGTGTTAACAGTCAGAATGGAAAGTTCAGTTATGGATATGCAAGCTCTCCGGGGAAAAGATCTTCTATGGAAGACTTTTATGAGACAAGAATTGATGGTGTTGAGGGAGAAATAGTTGGTCTCTTTGGAGTTTTTGATGGTATATATCTCTCTCTCTCTCACACACACACACATGCATGCCCGTGCACACACAGGGATAGGTGTGAATATATCATGCTTAGCATCGTTTACATACACAATTATGCAGATGGCTGTGAGGTGTGGATATGTATTAAATCTTTGCCAATTTTCATCCTTCTAGCGTGGATATAATCTTCATATTTTTTCTTTGGTTTATTGTTTGCTCACTCAATAATATTGTTGTTAGTATGATATTATGTGATTTTAATTGTTGAGTGGGTTTCGGTTTGCGTCAAAGTTGAGATCTCACCCTTGATCAACTTGTCAGTTTACGCATGGGGTCGAGCTATTCTAGCTGGATAATGGAAATCTTGGTCTTTGCCACACTGTGGTGGTGATCTTCTGACCAGATGAACCTCTGGGGGCTCTATTCTGATTCTTCAAGCTCTACATGCTTAATTCACATTAACTCGCTAATCGGATTTGATTAGTATTTCATGGAGCAGCAGCTCTGTTGTATTTCCATCTGGTTTGACTGTATATGTAATCATTCTTTCTATTCTTCTCTTGTTGGATTAGTTTCTTAGTAAGTCTTAATTAATTAGTTAGCATTCTTCCAGTCATAGTTCATGCACTATTCATATGGAGCATTTGTACATAAGCATACACAGAAAATGCTTTTACTCATATTGTGTTTGTACATATATATTTTCAAACTTTTTGAAAGCAAGAAGATAGGCGACACTGAGAAATTCTGCGTTATATTGAATCAGGTCATGGGGGTGCACGTGCTGCTGAATATGTCAAGCAAAATCTTTTTAGTAATTTGATCAGGCATCCAAAATTTATCTCTGACACCAAATCTGCAATAGGTTTGTCACTTCTTACCTGTAGCCTGCAATTTTTTGGTTGCTTTCTAATTAATCCTTTTCAGTTTTCTACTTACAAAAAAATAAATTACAGCATTTAATTTCCTGTTCCTGCAGCTGATGCATACAGCCATACAGACTCTGAATTTCTGAAATCAGAAAATAATCAGAATAGAGATGCTGGGTCAACTGCTTCCACTGCGATCCTAGTTGGTGACCGTTTGCTTGTCGCGAATGTTGGGGATTCCAGAGCTGTGATATGCAGGGGTGGTAACGGTAAGACTTTGAAGATTGTCCCCTCTTCAGTTGTGATTTTAGCATAATAATTGTATCAAAGACTACAAGTTCGAGGGTTGAAGACTTTTGTGCCCTGTCTTATGTTTTGCTAGATGGTATAACCGGCAAGAGAGAGAGAGAGAGAGAGAGAGAGAGAGAGAGAGAGAGAGAGAGAGAGAGAGAGAGTTGATGATATCTTTAGCTCTTTAATGGTAGCACATTATTCAAGCTAAAAGTATATGGATACTGGAACTTCATGGTTGTAGAGAATTTTGTTGAATGACAGTATTGTGCTATAAAATGTTCACATGTTTCATGGTTCTGTAATATTATCTTGTTATATCTTGCAGCTATAGCTGTTTCAAGAGATCACAAGCCAGACCAGACTGATGAGCGGCAACGGATTGAGGACGCAGGAGGATTTGTAATGTGGGCTGGTAAGGTTTATCATTGTTTTGAAGATTTTTCATGAATTGGTAGATGATTGCGTTCTTGATGACGGAGATTGTATCAACAGGAACTTGGAGAGTCGGAGGTGTTCTCGCTGTTTCTCGTGCATTTGGTGATAGGCTGTTGAAGCAGTATGTCGTTGCTGATCCTGAAATCCAGGTTTGATTCGTTTTGCTGATACTTGATGGTCAATACACACAGACATATGGGTGTTCAAGGATGTATAGTCTTTTGAGGAAAACACGATTCTCATAGAAGCTTTAAAATTTTCATGATTGGTGTTAATCTCAGACACTGAGAATATTTGTCTGATTAACTGCATTTTGAGTTCTTTATTATCAATACCAGTCCTATGTGATTTGAAAAATTTGTTGATTGGTATTGCCTTGTGGTTTCCATTGCCTGCTTCCATCCCTAGCTTCTCGGCATATTTTATTAACTTGCTTTATTTTGGCAGGAGGAAAAGATTGACAACTCTCTTGAGTTCCTTATCCTTGCTAGTGATGGACTCTGGGATGTTGTCACCAATGAGGTTTCCATGATTTTCCTTTTTTCTTTTATCTTTTTACTGTTCTGCCATACGGTTGATATGATGGAGGGTTAATGACAGCATGCCTTTAGAGCCTAAAACTTTTTGTTTTGTATTTGACTACTTGACTAACCAAACAGTAATCAATCCTTCTGAGTAAATAGTTGGGATGTCTGTCCTTTATCCCTATTTTGCTGCGATTATACGCTGTTTTTACAATTAGCAAACCGATTAGATGACTTGGTATGACCCTGACTGGTTCTTGACCATATTTCTATAGGAGGCCGTCGCAATGATCAAACCAATTCAGGACCCAAAGCAGGCAGCAGAGAGGCTAATGCAGGAAGCATATCAGAGAGGAAGTGCAGACAATATTACCTGTGTCGTGGTTCGTTTCTTGGCTAACCAAGGGGGCACCTCTCGTAGCAGTTCCGGGTAAGCACCAGCTCATGCTCATCATGCTCACAGCAAGGGGCTTGGAATCCTACCAGATTGGTGGTAGAGGTCAGGTGCAATAAAAGTCAGTGGTTAATAGTTTTAGAACATCTGTGGTAGCATTGTACTTTAAAAAGAATAGAGAGACATGATCAAAACTTACATGGCTGCAAATGTGTATTACATGTCTTCAGCCTATATAATAGCATAGGCTTGTGTATGTGAACTTAGATCTTGTACTTTGACAGTAAGTGTAGCAGAAATGTCAATGTGTTTGTAAAGTGTTTTCTCATTTCGTTTGCTCTCTGTAAATCTAAGCGTTAATTCAAGTGTTTTTTCACTTCTTTTATTAACCTTCATGGCAAATTATGCGAGGAAGAATAAACGAGGAAAATAAAAACTCCTTTGTATTTTTTTGGTAATTCTTATTTTATCCTCGTGTTCAAAGACTTTTGGTACGAAAAATAAAACCAAGTATTTCTTAAGTTTGAGCTTTGTTATCAAGACCAGGTATTTCTTAACCGTTCGATTGAAGACAATCGGCACTTGTCTTCACCCGCACGAGCTCTTTGCCCAAACTAAACAGAAACCAAAATTTTCCAGGGGAAAAATCACTGCACTTCACCTGAACTTATCTCATTCAGAAGTTCATATATATTTTAGTGTTTTGCATATAATGAATCAGAAAACCTACTAGACAACTAAACTCTGATATGGTACAACGAAAGCTAACTGGAAAACAAATAAATTGAAATTACATATATACCCATGATGCTTTGTTTCTCTCTCTCTCTGACCTTTCTCCACATTTCAACTCTGATAATAGATAATGACTCAGTGAGTGGTAAAAATTTACAAAAGGAGAAAAAAGAAGAAGAAAGTTTGAGAACAAAAGTAAAATTACATTTCTGTAGAGTAGAGAGAGAAAGAGGAGGACTCAGAAATATTGAATGGTATCGGCAAGGCAATTTTGCCATTACGCACGACGAGCGAACCAAATTGTTATCCTCATCGTCCTCCTTTCTTTCTACACTCAAAAAGAAACTGAACTGGGCAACAAAAACAAAAACAAAAAACAAAAAATCTAATATCGAAACCGAAAACAGAAAAAAGAAGAGAAAATAAGGAACAATGAGAAACCTACCTAACTATTTATTAGTTAAACAAGCAGCAAAGAACTCTCTCTCTCTCTCTCTCTCTCTCTCTCTCTCTCTCTCTCTCTCTCTCTCTCTCTCTCTCTCTCTCTCTCTCTCCATGCATATTGCAATAACAACGAAGGGTTGGGGGCTTTATATAATGGGGGTGGTGTCTTTGTTCAACTTATTTGATCTAAAAAAATCGGGTGGAGGTGCCCACATTGACATTACCGTCTGCCTTGCTTACCAAGGCTGGTGGAGCCTACATAAATAAAAGAATAAAATAATGAAGTTTGTCTGTCATCTTCTTTGCAGCCAACCACACATAACAGGTAGGGGTCATCATTTGGCCCACAGCCTGTGGCCCGAAATGGGTAATTTGAGGTCCGACGGGTTAACATCTGGCCCAATTTGATAGTTGGGCCTATTCGATCCGGCCCATTCTAAAGTTGAAAAGAATTTGAACTTAGCATTGAAATTCTCGGCCCAAGAGCCCGCCTAGGCCCGACCCAGACCACCATAAATAAATAAATAATAAATACTAATAATAGTAAATAATTATTACAGACGTACAAATATTCAAAGAAACAAGCCCATTGTAATAAACAAAAACAAATAATGTACATATTTTACAGTGATGCATTCAATAATTTTTTTTAGACTTAATTAAAATAAAATAATATATTTTATGAATTAATAAATTTATTGTTATATTTTATAATATATTTTAACATATAAATTTATTGTAAATTCAACGGTTCACTCACTCTTGCATTCCTTTTAAGAAACATTTTTGAACCATTGGATCAATATCCAACGGTGGGTGACCATAATATCTTAGACTCCTGTGGTCCAAGAGATCGGGACTGTATAAATTAATAAGTTAAAAAATTTCATCGTTGTCTAAAAATTTGTAACAAAAAAGATGTATAAAAAAAAATTTAAAAAAAAGTAATAAAAAATAAAATAAAAGGACCGGCCTTTCTAGGCTCAGTCGGGCTTGGAAAGCCCACCAAGGCTCAACCCAATAAACAAGCTTAGGCCAAGGTTTTGAAATCTCAGCCCGGCCCAACTAAAATATATATATATATATATCTCGACGAGGCTCGGCTTGAGCCCAAAAATTTCAGGCCGGTCTAGGGCGATTCAATGACGAACCCTAATCACGGGTCCTTTAGCTTATATAAAGGCTTCATCTCTTCACTGCTATAAGTCTAGGAGAAGTGAAGCACACCAACTGAGAGAAGAAAGAGAGTAGGTCAGAAAGGAAGGAAAGAAGAGAATGAAGAAGAGAGTGAGGGGGAGAGAAAAGAGAGCGAAGAAAAAATCTCAAAGAAAGAAAAATCAATGAGCCAATGAGATTATAAACACTAAAGTTGTAGTTCTATTATTTTATATAGTGAAAAAGTTAAAGTTGTTGCTCTCCGAGAACATAAGCAGCCAAACCTCGTTAAATATCATGTCTCATTTACTTTACGTGCAGTTCAATATTCTCGCATATATTGTCTATTTCACAATAATAGTGAATATTTTGTTTATCCAATGAAAAGAAAAGTAGATGTAAGCATTAATAATTAATAATAAAGTATGATTGCTCCCTCTAAAACAAAACGTGCTTGTGCTTCAGATGAGTTTCTAAATGTGGAAACAAATATTTTAGTACCCGGTTTACAAATTTCTTAGGTTAAATAAAACAACTCTCTTTTTATCTGCAATGACTATCACCATTTTTCATCCTCCTTTAACTGCTTCTTCTAGCATAGATGTAGATAAAGCCAAGATGGGCTATGTAGGCAGGTGCATGCCCACTCTCAAAACGTCGGCGTTTCTCTTCGACCATCACAAGCTCGTGGGTTCCATGCCAACAATAAGGGCTGAGCTCACCACGACATTCATTGGGTTGAGCCCAGCGTTGTTTGGGCCGTCAAAGTGTTGTTGTTCTTTGTTAAATCCTAAGGCCCAAACCCAAAATAAGCTGTGGAAAAGTTTGAAAGGATCTTCTTCCTACTCATATATAAGATCTTAGTTGCGAAATAACTGCTCTTAATCACTTAAACTTGCAACAGTTTTACACTTCACCTTCACCGGACAATGACATGATTGACAATAATTGCAGGTGAGTAAGAAGATAACCCAAAGCCTTGGACCATTTATTTCTTTACGTATTCCAGTTTTCATTCTCGTTGATTGTTCTAGAGTCCTCGAGTATGATCAACTAATTAAAAAATTACTAGCAAAGGAAAAAGGAAAAAGTTAGGGAGGTTATCTTTAGAGACCAACTTGTGTACACCACCATCTCCCACCTAACAAACGTCACGGGTCTGAGTCAGAGGCTTTAGCTTGCCCAAACCTTATCCAATTAATAGTAAATTGATTTGCTAATTATATTAAATTAATCCTAATCAGAATTCAGAATCACATAAACCAATAGCAACTCAGATTCTGATACGCTTAATACAAAACTCATTACTGCATATATATTTAAAAACTTGTACAAAATCGACGGTCAAGATTTCCATGGATCGTTCAAAATACATCATCTCTTACTCTTACCATATTTACATAACTACGATCAGAATTTGTGGAAACGAAAACGAACAATACAAAGCTTACTGGTTCTGGTTACTAAGTTACTGGTTCTGGTTACAAAGGTACTAGAACGACGGAACGACGCCGTACCGGCACAGACGTTCCGCTTCGATTTCCATTTCTGTGCGCTTAGCGAACCTGCCTTTGATTCGCGGTCTGGTCTCCGCATACGCTTTCCTCGAAGCGTAACGTATCGTCTTCTCGAACTTTCGGTTCTTTCGCTTCTCTCTGTACCTCAACACCCTCGCTTCGCGATCCGCCGATGAAATCTGAACCGCCTGATGTGTTGCCTCCACGGCCGAGCTCATTGACTTGGTGTAAGGATCGCTCACGTCCGTCATCGTCGTGTTGCCATCTGGCACAACGCTAACGTCCATAGACGACGATGATACCTGAGCCGCAAAACACAAGATCAGAGACTCCGATTGAAAATCAATAATAATTTATTTAGCCTCTGTTTGATTAGTGAGAAAATAGAGTACTTACACTCTGGCTCAGACACTGAGCGTGGAAGCCATAGACGAATGGCTTGGACGCGGCGGAGAAGTCAATTTCGAAGCTGTGGTCGTTGACGAGCTGAGGCTGAACGCTTTTGCTCTGAACCGGCACAACGCCGTCTGTACCGCAACTATTCTGCTCCTGAGCATCTTCAAGCTTCGGATCCACGTGTCCGTAGTCCAGATCCAAATACGGATCCATTTCCGGGAGAAAGTACTCGCCCGAGTTCAGATCCGGATTCTCCATTGCCTTCGGATTTGGGAGCAGCCACGAAGCAGCCTCGGCCTCTTCCCTGCTCACCTCAGTCTCTGCGTCTTGACCGTCCACGTCGGAGAAGTAACGGTCGTCGAGGAAGTTGACGACAGATTTGACGACGGGGGCTGAGTTGGCGGCCGAGTTAGCCGAGTCGTAGAAGGGCGTCACGGAGACTCGCTCGTGGCGGCGACTAAGAGGGTTGGCCGAGTGTATGTCTCGATCACACGTGACGCAGAGAGCGGCGTCGTCGGCCTTGCACGTTACGTGAGCGGGGGCTTGCTCGCAGACCTCGCAGAGCCAGACTCGGGCGTGGCGGGAAGCGAGCTTGTTGGCGGCGTGGATCTTGGAGTCACAGTTGACGCAGAGGAAGGCTGAGTCAGCTCGGCAGAACAAAGTCGCCGTTGCCGATTTGCACGAGTCACAGAGCTTCGACGCCATAACCCAACGATGTTGTGCTGTAATCTGTCTGATAAAAAACACACAGAAACTCTTTCTCTCTCTCTCTCTCTCTCTCTCTCTCTCTCTTTTGTGTGTTCTGATCAAGTGTGTGTCTATCCGGTGGGCCTGGGGATATCTAGGGATTGGCCAATGAGGAAGCGATACGTGGATGAAGCTTAGCCAAAAGGTAGGATTGCCGAGTTAAAGTTTGTGTGCTGTCAATTGTCAATTTTAGGTGGAGCCCACGGGCGATGGTCGTCGTTTGCTTATAGGTTTACTTGCCTTGGCTTTTTTCGCACTGTCGTGGTGAGAAGCATGTGTATGTGGGGCCCACAATAATGGTGGGTGGGGACCTTACACGACGCTCCGGTCGACCTCTCAATTTCGTAACAAATTGGTGTTATGCAACTGTTACAACTTACACTGTTTTTTTTTGGGTCCAAAATTACATTGTGTAACTTATTCACAAATGAAACAACAATAAATATATTGAAATTCTGACCAAAAAAGTAATTTTATATATATATATATATTATATAATATAAGTGAATTAATAATATTATGTGTTGCAAATTAAACCAAAATTTTACTCCAAGTTGTTGGGTGGGAACTTTTATGTTCCCCTTTTTGTTTTCTCTATCAACGCTATTAATAATGCAACGAGAAAGATAGAGAAAGATGGACAGTAAATTAGGGATAAATAAATATTTTGCCTTTAGTGGATATGGAGGGAGCTAGAATGTGTGTATGTGGGTAGGAAAAATTTGAGGTCACATCTGGATTGTCTTGAAGACTTTCTCTTGGTAATAATTGTATGCCAAAAAGAGTGAGTGATTGAGAGAGGTGAGGTATACTAACTTATAAGTGATTAGGGTTAGGGGCCCACCAGCTCTTAGCTTGAACTAGGGATGAGATCGGTTTGGGTTGGTTCGGTTTTGGGCTCAACCCGACACCGAATCGTAGGCTACGGTTTGGCTATTTTGAAAACCGAAACCAAACCATAATTGATGAAAATTGACCACTTCGGTTAACCGGACTTGGTGGTTTGGTTTCCGTTTTTTTGGCTTTCTTAGAGAGAGAGAGAGAGAGAGAGAGAGAGGAGAAGAAGAAAAAAAGAGAGAGGGAGAGGGGGTGAAGACATATATAAGAAGAATAAGAAAATAAATAAATATATATATATATATAGAGAGAGAGAGAGAGAGGAATTGATGAAGACAAGACAAACGGAGAGATTGAAAGAGAAGAAAAAGAAAAGATTGAAACTATGTATTATATATATTTCTTATAATAATATTATATATAATACTTTTTAATATCTTCGGTTTGGTTTGGTTAAACTGTAGTTTTGAATATTATAAACCGTACATCGAACCATATAATTTGGTTTGGTTTGGGTTCAAACCGATGACAAAAAAAAAGAAAAAAAAATCAAACCAACTCAACCCATCGGTTTGGTTTAGGCGGGTTGGCCGGGTTTAGGGTCCAAATGCAAAGCCCTAGCTTGAACGATGAAAACTTTAGGGGCATTTTAGAAAACGCAAAAGGAGAGAGAAATATTTTTAAAAAAAGCTAAAATGGACAAATGACAAGACCAGCCCCGAATTTCCTCGAAAATCGAGACAGACCCCGCCTAATTACATACATCACCCTGATGCCGGGCCCACTTACTAAAGACCGAGACTTCTACCAAAAATTTGGCAGTCTCCCCTATAAATTGAACATTCCTAAACTTCAACCTGATAAAAAATTTACAGTTAATAAACCTAACCAACAACATGCTTTACAAGCAGTTAAAAAGTTTACAACAAAGTTCTCTGGCCTCACAATTCAAACCCTAAGCGGGCGATATAGAGCATATATAAGAAATTCAAATACAACAGAAACAAAGTTCCATTGGAAAAGAAAGATGAAGGAGTCCCTACAAAGACTCAAGGTTCGGAAGCACCCGATCTGGCTCGACTGCGGAGCTCAATCACTACTGGCTGGGGGCGCAAAACAGAAAATTGTGAGTGGACAAAAATAAAGTTCAGTTCAAATAAATCAACGTAATATAACCCCACCGTTAAAAATCATGCAAGAATTCCAAATGCATCTTAAAATCGTCATAAGCAAGTATATAAACATATACTAAAATAATACCGAATACCAAGTCCGAAATCCGTGAACACTTCACACACCCACCATTCAAAACTTAAAAGTCCCGAAAGATTAAACTCTCGAAAACGTACGCACTGGCACGACCGGCGAGGAAGTATCCTTACCGAGAAACAAGAACGAATGAATATTCATATATATATATACATAATAATAATATATAATATAATAATAATAATAAATAAATAATATATATATATAAATATAACCAACATTTAGTTGTACCGGGGAAACAATCCAACCGGGGAATTGTTTGACTAGTCCATATGGCAGAGCCATTCCTTAATTCACCATGTGACTAAGCAACGAGCCGTCCAACTGGGGGACTAACTCTCAGCCAGCACGTACAGCCGAGACACTCAAAGCTTGTACACCTGAAAAACCAGTCCTACGCGAGCAGACTACCCCAAATTCAGGGTCTACAGCAACATCCCATCAAGGATGTCTCAGGTTCCGACAATTCCAAGTATCTCAAGTATCAGTAACCAAGTTCCAAATCCGGGGAGGTATATAGGGTAGTACTTAAAGCACTCCAAACAGATATTTCAATACTCAACCTTTTCCGCAAACTCATTTCAAATATATCAAAACCCAAAATGCCAATACTTCATAAAAATATCAATTTCCACCATTGAATAAATAATATATTCAAATATACCAATAAACATTATGCATAAATTTTCCCATCGTAAAACCATGCATATTATTTAAAAACAAAGTCCACTCACAAGTAGTCCCACACTGCTTGACCTTGAGAGGGTCTCGCCTACTGCGTATGCGTGGTCGGAGTACCTATTTTAGAATACGAACACGCAATTAACATCAAGCGCTTCGAAACAGAATTTTGAATTAAAAACCTAGTTTCCCGGGTTTCTAGTGAGTGTACGCGGAAAGAGACGTTCTAAGGTCCAACTACCCAAACCGGATGATGGAAAAGCCTCGGGAGACATTCGGTCAACCGGGCGGTCAAACTTCCAAAATCGGGTCAACCAGGGCCACGGGACCCACGACCTCTGTTTTTCAATCCGAGAGTTCCTAAAGGTTTTACAAGGTCTAGGATGCACGTCCTGCAGGTTTGGTCCGAAACGGACGGTTAGATCGCTTACGATCGGACGGTTATCGTAAAACGTAAACTTTAAGTTATTGAATCGGAACATCCGGGGCTCCAATTCACGATCCGCGAATTCCTACACGATCCTAGGAAGGTCTAGAGCAACATACTTGAATTTGGAAACAATCCAACGGTTGGAATATATCGAACCCGGATAACGCACAATATGCGATAATCCGTTCGATAGTCAAACGACCTCGGAATTGAGATCCGCGAAATCCTACGCGCTCGTGACAGCCTAAGGATCTCATCAGGACAAAATTCAGCTCCACAACTCTTGCCCACGTGCCGACAGCGCGTGGGTGGCTTGATCAATTTCCGGCGGCTGGAAAAACTCCAAACCGCAGGCCCAAACTCCTGTCCTAGGTAAAACATTATATTTGGAGTCACTTTTGTTCTTGGGCCTACCCCAAAAAGTGGCCGGAAGTGGCCGGAATTTCGAATTGAAAACCGGCCAAAAACCTAGGTTTTCAAATCGGATTTTATGCTACGAATTGATCCAATCCTATGCGCTAGAACTCAATGGATGAGAATCCATACCTCAACCGTCGGAAATGGTGGAGAATCGAGAGAGAACGTGAGCTGGAAAGTTCGTATGAAAACCGGCCTGAAACTTGCAATTTTCCAGTGGCTTGCGACGGTTCCCGGGGTGGAGATCAGTCGGGGGTGGAAGAGGAGAGTGGCCCAGTTCGTTTGGGACCGGTGCCGTCGATCGAAGTGGCCAGAGATGGTGGTGGCGTGGGTGGTTCTGTTCGGGTGAACAGTAACAGGAAGGAGAAAATCGAAGAGAGGGAGGAGTGCTCAGGGAGAGAGAAAGAGAAAGTGAGGTAAATGAAAAATTTTTTTTTTTTTTTTTTTTTTTTAATTTTAATTTTTATATTTAACCAACCCTTTTTGACTTATTTACGGTTTGCCACCGAAAGTAATTTGATTGCCAAAACTTCGTTATAACTCCGATTCAAGCCTACGGCCTGTCTACGAAGTCATCTCAGAAACATCTACGCAACCAAACCACCCATGGTCCCAAAATCCTTTTGGATGAGAAAATGACCAAATTACTCTTACCTTAAGGTTAATTCCGTAAATTCACTTAATTAAATTAAAATAAGGAATAATTTGGAGTCGGAGTGTTACAACAAAAATGCCATTATTTATTTTTGGATTTCCTATGGAATCTTTTATATTTGCATGTCTTTGGTTTGAAAGTTCAAGGATTTTTCTATCTTTTTCAGAAAAGTTTTTGCTTTTTCCAAAAGTGAAAATTATTTTGTAGCTAAAACATAAATTTACTAAAATTTTATTGGTGTATTAATAACAACGTTAGTATAGATCATGTTATTGCAGTGTGAAAAATTTACTAAAATTAGGCTAACTATTTTACCCCTTGAAATAGACACTTGGTCTCACTTTACTCTCTTAAACTAAAATTTTAACGCCCAGAATCTTTAAAAATTGCATAAATTTTCTCACTTTACTACTTTCGTCCATTTCCGTCCACAAAACCGTTAAGAATGCTGACGTGACATAGGCATTCTAGTAATTTTAGTTATCTATCTCAGCTCTTCTCTCAGCCTCTCTCTCTCTCTCTGTGCGCCAATAGAGAATATAGGGAGTGGCTATCGAGGAGATTGTTTTTAAATTTTGAGTGGAGGTGGTGGTTTGGGTGTGTTGAGTAATTCCATGGAGGCTTAGGTTTAGGGTGGGGGTTGGGTTTGGCAATGGGAGGGGAGAGAAGAGAGAGGTAGAGCAAAAAAAAAGGCAAAGAGAAGAGAGAAGAGAGAAGAGATTAGGGGGAGGACGGGTGGGGGTTGGGGCAGGGTGCGATGGAGGTTGGGTCTGGGAGGGAAGAAAGAGAGAAGATATAAGATAATAAGGGGCTAAAATTACTAGAATGTCAATGTCACGTCCTCACATTTAATAGTTTTGTGGATGGAAATTGATGAAAGTGGCAAAGTGAGAAAATTTTAGCAATTTTTAGAGATTTAGGGGGTTAAATGAGAAAAATTTAGTTTAGTGAGACCGAGTGTTAGTTCCAAGGGGTGAAACAGTAAATAAGCTCTAAAATTATGATACATGTGCACTTTAATACAACATATTAGAGCCATTCCACCCACAAGCCCGAGCCCAAGGCTGGGGGAAGGCAGCGCCAAAAATCCATTTCTAGCAAGCCTGTCTTGCCCTGGCAGGATATGGGCCCTATGAACCCTGGCTGGCCCTTAGGCAAGATCTGCCCTAGGTCCAGCCCCAATTTGCTGACGTCAGCAACAAAATTTTAAAAAAAAATATATAAAAAAAATCTACAAAAAGTTTCAGATTTTTTAAAAAAATAAATACTTAATTTTAGTTTTCACTTCCCACATCAAAACTCTATACAAATTTCTCTCATCATGTCTCATGTGAATAGTTGTTGCAATGGCAATTGGTGGAAACACCACAACCTTTTGCAATGGCAGCAACTATTCATGTGAATAGTAGCTGCCCTAGTGCCCCATTGCCATGGCAAAGGGCAAATGGGTGGAGTTGCTCTTATGTTTAGATGTTAGGCCTTCTCCAACCCATTGGCCTAAACATAAATTTTCTCCATCCAAAAATTAGGGGGTGGGCATTATTACTGAAAACCCGACCGAACCGGCCAAACTGGACTACTTAAGGTGGTTTGGTTTGGTTTTTATATTAAAAAAATCAAAGAACTAGTAAAAAAAACTGGTCAAACCGGCTTTGAACTGGGTTGGACCAATTTTTTTTATACTCCAAACCGTTGGAAACCGAACCTAACCGAGTATTTTAATTATATTATTAATTAAAAACAATAATACAGTGTAAGCTGATGATTAGTGGATTGTATGGCATATCCTACTCCTTCCTACACCAGATTCTGCGAAACCCTAACATCTGAAGTGCTTCGAAATATTTTTTTAATCATTGCGCCTCTTTCTTCTTCATCTCAATCACCACACCAGACTTGCCGCTTTTTTTTTTTTTTTTTTTTTTTTTTTTTTTTTTTTTTTTTTTTTTTTTTTTGTTTTTTTGTCACTCATCTTTTAGTCACTCTTTATCTCTCACTCGCTCTCTCTCTCTCTCTCTCTCTCTCTCTCTCTCTCTCATCGCTCGACTGACTCTCTCGCCTTTGCCTCTCTCAGTCACTCTCAACTTCAAGTTCCTCTTTCTTTCTTTTTCCCCAGATTTTATCAGCCGATCTCTCAGTCACTCAGTCTTCCTGTCACTCTCTCTCTTACTCGTTCTCTCTCAGTCACGCACTCTCTCTCTCTCTCTCTCTCTCTCTCTCTCTCTCTCTCTCTCTCTCACACCCGCTCTGTCTCTCGTCTCCCTGAGCCAATTTCTACATGGTTCTCTCTCACCTACTCTCGCTTTCTGTTAGCCGATCTCTAAAAAAAATACTTTCAATTGTTACTTTTGTTGGGCCTCGGCAGAGATCCGAACCGAACCAACCCTACCTGCTTAAATCGGGTTTCGATGTAAGTCGAAAATGGGCCTAAAAATAGGTGCATAGTTTGTCATTTGGGCATGCTGACATAGACCAGTTCGGCGTATGGTTTGGGCCCATAACCGGCTCGACTCGACCCGTGTGCAGCCCTACAAAAAATAACTATTTGGGTTTTGCCCGGATTCAAACCATTTTTCCTTCAACCCTTCAAACTCAATTTTAAGTCCGCGATTTTATGAAATTGTTTAAGAATGGTTTAAGTCTAATTTTTATTTTTTTTTATTTTTTATGACTAACTTTTCTTCATTTAAAATTTTTAAATAACTTTATAATTTGATTTTTGAACAATTTGACCTTAAAAAATCTAATTTGATGGATTTGTTACTATGTTGACATACCGTGTGATGCTTGCTTTCTACTTCACACGAAAACTTCCTTGCAATTGTTTGTCTCCATGTTTCTCCTCTCCAATCTTAACCACCTAAATTCTTTAAAAACAATCCATCGATGATTCTTTAAACGGATTTTTGTTGTTTCTATTATGAGTTGATGTGGTTATTTCCATTGTATTTGTAGTTGATGAAATTAAACAATTTTTATTTTTAAATACAAGCGATAATCTAAGAGGATGAGTTTTTTTCACACACATAATACCAAAGTGTAATAGAGGTTCGATTGTGAGACCACTGTATACAACTTAAGCCCCGTTGGCATGAAATTAAACAGCTTAGGCCTTTTTCAACCCATTTGGGGCTAAACCCAAATTTTTCCCTTATAAAAAGTAACTATTTGGGTTTTGCCTGGACTCAAATCGTTTTTTCTCCTAACCCTCCATACTCAAATTTTAAGTCCGCATCTTTATTAAATTGTTTAAGAATGATTTAAGTCTAATTTTTTTTAATGGATAACTTTTCTTCATTCAATCTTTTTAAATAACTTCATAATTAATTTTTTTTGAACAATTTGACCTAAAGAAATTGAAATTCCACAAACATAATTTTATTCTAAAAGAAAACACACAACATAATTCTAAAAGAAAACACACAATACTTCAAATTCATCATACATTAATAGTTTTGGGTCCAGGCAATACTTGGACTGCTATTTGGGTCCGAGTTTGAGTTTTCCCAAATTTTGGCCCATTCATTTTTTTGGGTTGGGAGAGGTTTTGGGCTATAATTTTGGATATTTTGGGTTTAGTGTCATGGGTTGGAGATAGGGATGGAAAAAAATCCCCGCGGAGGCGGGTCCCCAACCTTAACTGGGGGAGATTTCGAGGCCAAACTGATATCGAATACGGGGATCCCCGAAACTTGAAAAATCCCCAACGGGTATGGGGAGAGGATGGTATTGGCATCCCCATCCCCGAACCCAATTTGAAAATATATATATATATGTTATATTTAAATAAATAAATAAATAAAATATTTATGTTTAACCCTAAGTCATAACTTCCTTTTCCTAATTCTTCCTAATTTTTCCTAATTTTCTATGGAATTTCATATTAATGTGATTTTGAATAATTGAGTTGAACTTTATAGTTAATTTCGATGTGTTGAATGATAATTTAATATGAAACTTAATGTTAAAATGTATAATAAATATTTTTTATGCAAAAAAATGGGGGATGGGGATAGTCCCCTTACGGGAATGGAGACGGGAATTCCCCGAAACCTATTAAAAAGGGATGGGTTCGTGGATGAGGGAGGGGATGGAGAGCGGAGACAGGGATAGTATTGTCATACTCGGCCCCTACCCGTCCCGTTGCCATCCCGAGGTGGAGATGGCCGTATATCAAAAGAAGAGGAAAATAATAGAAGAAAATAATCAAATATTTTATTATTCTGCGTTGTGATTACAGAATTACCCTTGAAAATCCCTAAGGAAAGGATTGCTCCTTTTCGTTCTCTTATTTGGTCAGCCACTCTGTTACACTTTCAACTTCTCTCCGGCGCCTCTTTATCTCTCCGCATCGCGGCATAGCTGAACCGCAAAGTAAGTAAATTTATCTTCCTCTTTCCCTTGTTATCTATATCGTTGCCTCTGCCTCTAAAATTAAAACCTATGAATGTTATTTTTCTCATTTTTGCATCTCTCATAAATACAGGAGCTTATATCATTATGATACAGATTCAATATATATAAAAATTCCTTCAAGTCTTTTATGGGGTTTTCTTCTGAATTTACTGCTTGTCACGTTTTCTGTAGCTTATTTCTGTTAATGGGTTCTTAAGATTTGATTCAATATAGTTGCTAGGCTTATCACTCTATTTGGGATATTGAGTTTTGAGGAGCAATGTGATTTTAGCTGAGGGATTCAGGAACAAAAAGAGAAACGGAACGAAAATTTATTTTGGTATTGGTAATGAGGAAAATTGCATACTTTTGCATCATTTTGGAGCTTAAGAGGGTTTTGTAGCTTATATCAGATTTTGTAATTGGGATATGGCACTAACTTTTACTTAAATTGGTCGGTAGGACAATTGTTATTGAAATCATACCATATGTTTTGGAAGAAGTGAGTAGGTGCAGATGTCTGTGCTGGAATCGAAGTGTTTCTATTCTAACATTGGATGTTGTTTAAACTTACAGTGGACTTAGTTCAAATGAATTTGCTTTAGCGAACTTGCAGTTTAGCATATGATTTATCCCTTCCAATTTTGATTTGCACCATCATATTCTTGCAGGTGCCCCCATTACTTTTAGAGTCCTTAAGTAAGAAAATAGTGGGATTAAAAGTATAGATTAGAGCAACGACTGGGGTGGAGGTAGAGGTAGAGAAAGGGAAGAATGGCAGCCAAGACAATGATGGTGCGTCCTTACGTGTTATCACCCTCGACACTAAGTCATGCTCTGCCATATTTATTTGCTGGACTGAGGAAAAAACAGTTGGTATTTGAGACTCAAAGCATCAGATTGGTGAATAGCAGAGCAAGCAGCAATGAATGTAGGAACAATCTGAGATTGGAGCAATATGGTGGTTTGAGGAGATTCACTGCTCGAGCCACAAACTTCAACAGTGCTGGCACCTTCGACTCCCCCCTCATGCAATCCATGGAGAACAAAATCAAGGAACAGCTAAATGCTGAATCGGTTAGTGTAAAAGATGCTAGCGGGGATGGTCGGCATGTGAGCATTGATGTTATCTCTTCATCCTTTGAGGGACAATCGGCTGTAAATAGGCAGAGGATGGTGTACAAAGCCATATGGGAGGAACTTCAAACCACAGTGCATGCAGTTGATCAGATGACTACCAAAACCCCAAGTGAAGTTTCTCCTCAGAAGTGATATGTATCATTCTTTGAATCTTGAAGATCAATAAGATGCTACGCTCCCTTTGTGGAGTTTCCTTACTGCATTTCTTATGTAACCTCTAGTAAGACCTTTATTTGTGAATGTTTTGGATTTATCATCATTGGCACAAGGCCGCTGGTTAAAATAGGTGCAGCCATTTCTGGATTGTGATATTTTGATCTAGTTTTAACGTCGGATTTGGTTGTGGATAAGTCTAACATCACAGAAAGTAAAGAGCAAAAAGATTTGCAATCACTAAATCAGGCTACCAAGCCAAATATTTATTGTCAATATCATTATTTTTTACCCGATACAAATAATATTGAGAAGGAAGGAATCAGACACAAGACTTCCGACTAAGAGCGAAATGTCATTTGAGTTCAAGCTTATGAGCTTGGTTTATTGTTAACTATTGATGTCAGATTCACCATTAACTTTTGGGGCTCCTTCAATTCTTGCAACAACACGTATCATTGTCGATGCATCCGCCATTGATGTTTCCACCATATTGTTGAATGCAGGTTAAGATACAGGATTGCTTTGAGCAGTTCATAATTGGAATAGTAGGGGAGGAGCATGTTTGTGCCTCTCCTTGCATTTTACCTAAATATCCACCCCCAAAAAAAAAGGTTAAGACATGTGAAGCCATAAACCAAGCATGAATTCAGATTGTGATCCAAAAAGCCTAATATATTTATATATAATAAAAAAAGGACATGCATATACCAAGAGAGAAAACCAAGAGAAGCAAAATAAGCATAGGGAAAAAAGCTGCCTGGCCCTTCATCTCTGTCTCTGAGAACAAATATGAAAAATATGTACTCAGCGGTCACAGTGCTAATAACCTGCAAGCTCTCCTCGATCCCTATGTCTTCTTTTATAACAATCTTAAGGCTAATCCACACACTGTCAGTCAAACTCTTCTAATCTCCTAGATTCTCAATTAATGATACATATACATTGGTCATGATTAACATCCCTAAAGGGAGATTTGAATGTGACCTGTAACATTTTGTATTTTGCAATCTTTGGATTCGTATGACTGCCATTTATGGTTGCCCATTAAGGGATTACCATATGGTTGGGATTTGGATCCTCAGCTAGGATCTCCTTACCTTCTTTTCTCTATGCCACTTCACTAAAACAAATCACTCAAAATTGGCACATTCGTCATATAACTACCTAAAAATGTACAAGGAGATTTTATTAATTAAATTGGGTTAAAGAGTTTGTATTGTGATAATAATTTAGAAAAATAATATCATCTAATAAAGCGGAATGTTCCATGTTATATATTTCTTAATTGAAAATGTTTGTTGATTGTCTTTTTATATATTAATAATCGGAGGAGAACTCAAATTAAATATAAATCACACTAAACCATTAGTTAATTAGTCATTTTTATCGTAATTCCGACCGATGAAATAAACTGGCATGAAACTAATCCAAACAAAGAGGTTAGGTTTGGCCCGTTTGGGGTTGGGCCTAATGGACAGCTTACAATAGCCCTTGGGTTTAGTTCTTGTACAATTTAATTGATAACCGGTCCTTTTCACCTATATACTGCAATACATACATTACGATAATAAAAGATGAGGATTTAATGAGGGGGGACGCGGCTTTGCGAGGCGCCGCGAATGAGACAACTCAGGTGCTCGAGTTTACACGTAGCTTTTTAAGCAAGAAACAACAAGACCAATGAGAAAGCTATCTTCTCTTGCATTCCAAGAAAATGGCAAGTCTTACCTCAGCTTTCTCGTGCCCCAATTAACCCAGCCCTTCAAATTGTCACCTGCCCTGCACCAGCCTGCGTAAAATTTCCGACAGGCCCAGTTGTGATTTTTAAGAAATGTTTAAGTTTTTTAGATATATGTCGTCATTCCATTTCCTTTGCTTGATTCTTTCCCTTCCTTGGAAAGTGATTTAAAACGACGTCACCAAGAAAACATTATTCCACTGCACAACGTTTTTTGATATCAATTTTTCCCCTTAACGTGGGTGTTAGCAATATTCAAAGAGAAAATTTAAAATAATTTTAAGGGACCAATGGGCAGCTAATATGCTTTTGGTTCATAATGTCATTTAAGCAAAGCAAAGTCTGTAACAAAACAATGCTTGGGGAAAAAGTTAAGGAAAGACAAATGATTGTTCTTCATTTGAGCAGCATACATATCGGTTGTAATTAGCTGGAAGAATGAATGAAAACTCTATCATCAACAAAATATCATGAATGAGGAATTTAATTGATCGCTTTGAGTGCGTTTGAATGCGCTCCACGTGCTCCCTTTCCTTCTGCATTCTCTTGCCCAACTCTTTCAGATCCGATCGGCTCGAAGGCGATTGCGTCTCCTGGTTTCATTTTTTTAGCTCACCGGCCTACGGAGAGTCTAGATGTCATGAAGGATGGTTCGTCCAAACAATTCTGTTCTAAGGATTTTGCGCCTCCTGAAGGCAATGATGGTGGCATGGATCAGTCTGATCAGATCCCTTCCATGCCAGAGGTCAATTTCAAAGATAAGTTACTAAGCTCTTCTTGTTTTGAATATATTGAAGGAATGGAGAAGGATGGGTTCTCTATTGAATCTGGTGATTATGAAGTTGAGGATTCTCCATATGGTCATTCAATTCGTTTTTTTGAACATGTTAAGAATAAGATCCATAGACCTTGGAGAAATTATGTGATTATCCAATTTGTAGGGAAGACTCATACCTATAATTTTATCTTTGCACGTTTGAAGCAGCGCTGGAGGCTTAAGGGACCGATGCAATTAGTTGATTTAGACAATGGGTTCTTCATTGTTCATTTTGTTCTTGAGGAGTATTTGTTGTATGTGTTAACTGGGGGTCCTTGGGTAATAGCAGGGCAGTATGTTGTTGTTAAAAAACAGAGACCTAATTTTTGTGCGACTGAGGAGTATGTTTCCCGCATTACTGTTTGGGTGAGATTATCTGGTATGGGAGTTGAATTTTTCAATTCTGAGACTATTAAGTGTATTGGGGATTTGATTGGCTCATCCTATAAGGTGGATGTTCATACTGTATGTTAGATGAGAGGTAAGTTTGCAAAGGTCTGTGTTGAAATTGATTTGAATAAGCCTCTCATCCCTTACATAGTTGTTGAAGGTAGGCCTGTGAGAGTGGAATACGAAAATCTCTCTGTGATTTGTTTTAGTTGTTGCAAAGTTGGACACAGTAAAGAGTATTGTCCTTTTGCTAACCCTATCCATAAGGACAATGAGACTGATATGGATATGGCTGGGGATATTCAAGAAGAGATGCGTTCTCATCAAGTGGAGAAGTTACATAAGATGAAGCTTAATGATAATCAAAGAGGCCTAATTGATCCCATTGGGGATAAAGATGGTTTTGGTATATGGAATGTTATTCCTACTAGAAAAGTTTTGAAGAAGAATTTTGAAAATGGAACTACTACTAGTGAAGATAAAGGAAAGGGGTTTTATCCCTGAGGTCGTCTAGAAGAGACAGGAGAAGGTTTTTGATTCCAACAATGCTTTGCCTCAGAAAGATAAAAAGAAAGTTGTTCAAAAGGTTAATTATGAGGCTGAGATTTATGATGCTTCTGGTTCTAGATTTAATATATTGGAGAACGATTGTTTTGATGGTGAGCAAGAGCATGTTTTTGGGACTTTGGAGAATCTTCTGTCAATTAATGGGAAGGCTATTCAAAGTAAAGATGATGGTGGTTGGAATGGTCTAACTCCTCCTAATAAGGGCAAGGAAAAGATTGGTAGGCTGAGGAAAGTTTTGTCTGATATTTCAAATAAATCTTCTTCTAGGCCTGCTATTGTTTTGAGGCCTAGCTCTAAGAATTTGGCTCATGATTCCACCATAACTTCTGTGTCTGAGTTGGACTAAGCTTTGATTAATCTTAGGAGCTCTGTGACTAGGAGGTTTGGAAATTGGGGAAGTTTATGCTTGTAGAAACGATTATTCTTTCACTTCTAAGCCTCAAGCTCCAAATATTATTTCTATGGATTATAGAGCTGCTGATCAGGATATGGAAATTCAGGATTTGAGGGATTCTAAGAGTGTGCAGTTGGATTCTAAAGTTGGTGAAGCTTTAATCGCTGATGTGTCTACTTGTTATGCAGAGGATGCCGAGGCTCAAGGTCTCAATTTTATGGGGCCTTTGTCTGCCAATTCCGATTAGGTCTTTTTTGACCTTTCTTTCTTTCTTCCATCATGATGATTGGTTGTTGGAATATTAAAGGGGCAGGTAATAAGAGATCCTTGCTTGCTATGCAAGATCTTAAGTATAGACATAAGTTTGATATGTTGGTTATTTTGGAGCCTAGAATTAGCTCTGGTAGAGCTCGGAAAGTCATTTCTCAACTTGGCTTCCCTAAAGCTGAAATTTCTTATGCTATAGGTTTCTCTGGTGGTATTTAGCTGTTGTGGAATGATGCTAAATTCAACTTGAGAGTCATTCATTGTATGGATCAAACTGTTTCTGTTTGTGTTGAAACTTCTAGAGGTACTTCTTGGATATTTACTGCCACATATGGGCACCCTTGCCCGACTATAAGATCTCATCTCTGGCAAAATTTATCTATTATTGCTGCTTATTGGAATCTTCCTTGGGTTGTTTGTGGGGATTTTAATGATATCTTGTTTGAGAATGAAAATTTTGGAAAATTATCTGGTAAAAGTAGAGGTTTCAAAGACTGGTTTGATCAGCATAGGCTCATTGATTTGGGATTTTTGGGACCGAAGTTTACTTGGGTTAATAAGAGAGTTAGTGGTGATTTTGTGATGAAGAGATTGGATAGGGCGATTTGTAACAAAAAGTTGAGGGTGTTATTTCGTGAACCTTTCGTGAGGCATTTGCCTAGAAGATGTTTTGATCATGGTCCTCTTTTGATTAGTCTGATTTCTGATAAGATTCCTTCATATGAGCTTAAGCCTTTCGGATTTGAGGCAATGAGGCTTAAACATTGTTTATTTTCTGACTTCATTAAAGCAGAGTGGAAGAATTTGGAAGGTTCAATTTCTAATGAATTGGACATGTTGATTCCCTTGCTTTGGAAGTGGAATACTCAAGTCTTTGGTCAAATCTTTCAAAAGAAGAAGAGAATTCTTGCTAGGCTTCAAGGTATTCAAAGGTCTCTTTGTAAGGGTTTCTCCCTTTTTTTGTGCAATATGGAGAGGCATTTACAATAAGAGTTTGAGGATTTATTGGATCTGGTGGATGTGTTTTGGAAACAAAAATCTAGAGTTTCTTGGCTGCAGAGTGGGGATATAAATACCAAGTTCTTTCACATTACTACTCTTGTCAGAAGAAGAAGGAATAGGATTGAAAGGCTTAAATATAATAATGGAGATTGGATCTCTAGTAAAGAGGGTTTGAAAGCTCTTGTTGTTGAGTATTTTCATGGCATTTTTTTGGATGGTGTTGTTGATATCATTAACAGTCCTTTGCCTTCTCTTTTTGCCCATATTCCTGAGGCTGATTTGGCTGCTGTCAATAAGGATGTGATTGAAAAGGAGGCGCATGATGCTCTCTTTGCTATTGGTCCCTATAAGGCTCCTGGTCCTGATGGCTATTCTGCTATTTTTTTCCATAATTGTTGGTCTCTTTGTAAGAAAGATATTGAAGGTTCTGTGTTTAAGTGTTTTTCTAATGGTTTCGTTGTAGAGTTTTTGAACAACACTATTATTACTCTGGTTCCTAAAATCACTAATCCTCATAGCATGCTGCAGTTCCGTCCAATTAGCCTATGTAACACTTTATACAAAGTTGTTTCTAAGATCATTGTTGGAAGGCTCATACCTTTATCTGTGAATGTTTTGGATTTATCATCATTGGCACAAGGCCGCTGGTTAAAATAGGTGCAGCCATTTCTGGATTGTGATATTTTGGACTAGTTTTAACGTCAGATTTGGTAGTGGATAAGTCTAACATCACAGAAAGTAAAGAGCAAAAAGATTTGCAATCACTAAATCAGGCTACCAAGCCAAATATTTATTGTCAATATCATTATTTTTTACCCGATACAAACAATATTGAGAAAGAAGGAATCGGACACAAGACTTCCGACTAAGAGCGAAATGTCATTTGAGTTCAAGCTTATGAGCTTGGTTTATTGTTAACTATTGATGTCAGATTCACATTAACTTTTGGGGCTCCTTCAATTCTTGCAACAACACGTATCGTTGTCGATGCATCCGCCATTGATGTTTCCACCATATTGTTGAATGCAGGCTAAGATACAGGATTGCTTTGAGCAGTTCATAATTGGAATAGTAGGGGAGGAGCATGTTTGTGCCTCTCCTTGCATTTTACCTAAATATCCACCCAAAAAAAAAGGTTAAGACATGTGAAGTCATAAACCAAGCATGAATTCAGATTGTGATCCAAAAAGCCTAATATATTTATATTAAAAAAAAGGACATGCATATACCAAGAGAGAAAACCAAGAGAAGCAAAATAAGCATAGGGAAAAAAGCTGCCTGGCCCTTCATCTCTGTCTCTGAGAACAAATATGAAAAATATGTACTCAGCGGTCACAGTGCTAATAACCTGCAAGCTCTCCTCGATCTCTATGTCTTCTTTTATAACAATCTTAAGGCTAATCCACACACTGTCAGTCAAACTCTTCTAATCTCCTAGATTCTCAATTAATGATACATATACATTGGTCATGATTAACATCCCTAAAGGGAGATTTGAATGTGACCTGTAACATTTTGTATTTTGCAATCTTTGGATTCGTATGACTGCCATTTATGGTTGCCCATTAAGGGATTACCATATGGTTGGGATTTGGATCCTCAGCTAGGATCTCCTTACCTTCTTTTCTCTATGCCACTTCACTAAAACAAATCACTCAAAATTGGCACATTCGTCATATAACTACCTAAAAATGTACAAGGAGATTTTATTAATTAAATTGGGTTAAAGAGTTTGTATTGTGATAATAATTTAGAAAAATAATATCATCTAATAAAGTGGAATGTTCCATGTTATATATTTCTTAATTGAAAATGTTTGTTGATTGTCTTTTTATATATTAATAATCAGAGGAGAACTCAAATTAAATATAAATCACATTAGACAATTAGTTAATTAGTCATTTTTATCGTAACTCTAGCCGACGAAATAAACTGGCCCAAAACTAATCCAAACAAAGCGGTTAGGTCTGGCCCGTTTGGGGTTGGGCCTAGTCGATAATTTACAATAACTCTTGGGTTTAGTTATTGTACAATTTAATTGATAACCGACCTTTTTCACCTATATACTGCAATACATACATTACAATCATAAAAGGTAAGGATTTAATGAGGGGGGGACGCGGGTTGGCGTGGCGCCGCGGATGAGACAACTCAGGTGCTCAAGTTTACACGTAGCTTTTTAAGCAAGAAACGACAACACCAATGAGAAAGCAATCTTCTCTTGCATCCCAAGAAAATGGCAAGTCTTACCTCAGCTTTCACGTGCCCCAATTAACCCACCCCTCCAAATTGTCACCTGCCCTGCACCAGCTTGCCTAATATTTCCGGCAGGCCCAGTTGGGATTTTTAAGAAATGTTTAATTTTTTTAGATATATGTCGTCATTCCATTTCCTTTGCTTGATTCTTTCCCTTCCTTGGAAGGTGACTTAAAACAATGTCACCAAGAAAACATTATTCCACCGCACAACGTTTTTTTATATCAGTTTTTCCCCTTAATGTGGGTGTTAGTAATATTCAAAGATAAAATTTAAAATAATTTTAAGGGACCAATGGGCAGCTAATATTTTTTTGGTTCATAATGTCATTTAAGCAAAACAAAAGTCTGTAACAAAACAATGCTTGGGGAAAAAGTTAAGGAAACACAAGTGATTGTTCTTCATTTGTGCAGCATACATACCGGTTGTAATTAGCTAGAAGAATGAATGAAAACTCTCTCATCAACAATATTTAATTCCTTTTAATTTCCAATCTCATCAACTAATTCATCTCTTCAAAATTTACATTTCCCGATTCAAAATAGGAAAAGAAAAAAAAAACCAATAAAAACCCACCAGAAAAATATTTAAAAAAAAAGTAGAACCAGGGGAAACAAAAAAACAGAACACTCTGGCTCTCTGAAGATATGCAAAAACTGAAACAGAGCAGGCTCAGTGAGCTCACTGGTTTTGATGATGGTGGGCTTCTTCTTCTTCTTCTTCTTCTAATTGCCCCTGTTGGGTTTCTGTATCGCTGTTTTGAATACCACTCACCGCTTCATCAAGATGCTGGGCTCCCAATTCCTCTTTCATTTTCTCAGAAGAACTCTCTTCTTTATCTCCATCTTTACTCTCTCCCTCTTCATCAACAACGTGCTTATCAGCACCAAAGGAAGCAACTTTAGAGCACAATGAAACAGGCGTCGCCAAAAATGTTGCGTTCTCATTTCCAGCCATTATCACCAAAATCTTCTCTTCAAAAACCTTCACTGTCTTGCTAGACTCCTCGCCTTGATCTTTCTCATCACCACCGCCACTCTCCAAGTCCCTTCCGCCTCCTTCTCTGTCTTCCAATCGGCTCGAAAGCTTCCAGTAAGAGCAGGCCAGGATCAACAGAGCAAAAGCAATAAGACCCAGCATCGCTGCCAGGCCTCCGAAGAGGTATGGCACCGGAGAGTGCCATGGCGAGCGCTGCTGCTGAACAGCCATGGCTGGTGTTGGCGGCAATGATTCCAATGAAGATTTTGTTGCTGTTGTTGCAGAGATGGCAGTTAAGGTTCTCATTTTTTATTTTTTATTTCCTTTTGGGGTTTCTTGAGGTTGAGGTGAGAGGAAGGTTTTGAGTAGATGAAAAGAAGGTGAGGAATTTGAGCTTGTGAAAATGGAGGTGTTAGTCTATTGTATTTATAGCAGGGGAAAAGTGTTTGTCTCTCTGTTACCCTTTCTTTATTGGGGTCACGGATTTGGCCCTTTTTTTTCTTTGTTGTAAACAACAAGGTGCACTGTTTCACACCCGGATCCTGCTGTTGGATCATTATGTGTGAACGGGCCTAAAAAATATTCGGACCAGTGGCAAGTATGAACTCATCAAAGTCCTTTTTCCGGTATCTTATGTTGTCAAACAATAAATCCGAACCATTTATCAAAATAATTCTTGTAATAACATAAAACATAAGTATCCGTTCCGCGACATATGTTCAATAATAGCCATTTCAAAATTTGATTTTATTGATTAGACCCAGACAACATATAGTGATGCTGCCAATGCCATGTACAGTGTACTACAAGAAAGAATATCATAAGGGTGAGGTGTATTTTATACAGGTGGTGCCTATTGCTGAAGTAATCAACCTGTCTTGGCCAATGAGCTTGTTGGGCAATGATTTAAATTGTCATTTCACAAGATGGGTTAAGACATGCTTAATCTAAGAGATTAGATATGTTACCTTGATAAAAGTGGGAGTGAAAATTGTACTCTTTGCTTTATTTTTTTATTTTTTTTCAGTTGTGTCGTGGGATGAAGAATATATAATGTTATTCTATGAGCCTCCACTAATTGGATCTAGAAGGGAATGTTTTGGGTGGGGTGATGTATTTAAGCAATTTTTACTGTTTGGAATTTTTTTAAAATTAAAGGCAAAGTCCAACCAAAAATAATATGTAGGCTGCTAGAGTTGTGGTTGCTTCTTTTGCTGTGGTCCATATCTGAAGGCACAGTAAAAATGCACTGAGCTTAATTAGTGTATCCAAAGAGGACAACAATCATTGGATAAGGATACAAAGAATGGGCATTAGTGTATCCAAAGTGCCAGCAAACTAATTGTGGCCTCTCTCTTCTTCCTTTGCATTGCATCACTTGCTTAATTAGTAATTTGATTGATAATCATGTTTCATGCGTCGCATCAAAGCCTCGAATAGCCTCGCTTGCCTTGAATATGACAAAGCGTACCATAACACGCCACTTTTCTGCTGCTAATCCACTCGAAAAAAGCGATTTTGAAGCACAATTTGGTGGCTAAGGTCATATTCATATTTAGTTTGGGCTATACCAGTATCATTTAATGACAGGCAAATAATGCCAGACCAGCACTAAAATAAATGGATAGGTTTGGCAGATATATGTGAGCTGTCTTATGGTTGCGTGTGGGGAAAGAAAAGCTGAAACTTCATTTTCCAAAAGCTGTATGTATGTGTGTATGAACTGAAGAAATACATCAACTAATTAATAGCTTTTACTGATAGTAGGATTATGCAAGTGTTAATTGGAGATTTGGATTGACTTAATTTGGTCAATTTGCATGGAATCAGACATAATTGGATCAAATTCTGTGTTCGAGTACAGAATTAGACGGGCAAGCAGCTGAGGTAGATAAAGATTGTGACTCTAGGGGCAAATGGGTCCAGGGAACATTGGGGGAAATTGTTTTTGGGGGGGGGAAGAGTATGACTTTTTTGGTGCTTTGCCATTATAATAGATCCCCACCTCTGTCAGCATCAGCTATGATCGCAGCCACCTCTTTATGCTTTGCTTGCCACCACTTTATGCTTTGCTTTCCCACCCTCTTCGCCCAGCAGGTCCCATTGCCTCCGGCATTTGCCCCTTCGTTTTCCCACCTATCACTATCTCTGCCTCCTACGCCATAATTTCTATCTATGTGTATCGATATTTTAAGAGGTCTCAAGTTCGAAAATCTCTCTTTTGTCGCATTTGCTTTTTGTACGTGAGACTAACAATGGTACTGATTGTGTTTCATCTCAAAACCCTAGTTATGTCCGGTTATCAAACAAAATGTTTTCATTTTTCCTTTAATAAATACTACCTTATATCTTCTTATGGCATGATAGTTTTTGTGTGGTAGTAAGAGTGAGAGATTACATAATTTTGTATTTCATTGATTCGTATAGGAAGACATGATTGTTGTATGCAACTAGGGTTTTATCATCTTTAAGATCTTTCATGGATCCATATACGTATGTGGGGAGGGGACTTTTTACACATAGAAGTTGTGACAAAACTATCTTTGTATCGATAGCTGGAAGACATACAAGTATATTTATGTTTTTTTTTTCTGGGAAATTAACATAAATCATATTTTGTGACTGCTTTATAAAAATTGTGTCAAAGGGCCTCTACAGTGCAAAACATAAACTTTTTTCCCTGAAATTTCTGCTTAAAACACGAACTTTATTAACTTAATCACGGCGACTACCCTACCGACACGCTTTTCGTTTGCTGCAGGTTGCTTATTTTCCATGTAAACCTTAATCAATGCTTTTACGTACTGTATTAACATTATTCTTTCTCATTTCAATATGATATGGTACGGATTCCATATTCTTCACTGTTGATTAGTTTCATGAATAAAGGTCTAAAATCAAAAGCCATTAGTAATGAACTAACCCTAATGCATTCATACACGATTTGAATCCACTTTGATGCTTCTGTTTCACTTCAACACGTCAATCAATAGATATTCTCTTTCTGTCACTCAACGCCATTTGGAGTTGAAATTCTCCTCTCCACAGTTAACTTGGGGATTCTTTTGAGTTCAGTACTAGTAGTGTCACACAACGCAATCAGATAATTGATCAGATCCATTCAACTTTTGTACTTAATCTTGCTTTTCCAGGTAAGTTAATCATTATTAACCACTTAATTAGTTTTTTTAAAATATTTAATTTGTACTTTTGGAAATTATTATCGGACACGACAGATCTGCATATATTTTCAATGAAAAAAAAACACCTTAGAGTAAAACTTGTTAAGATTGACATCATCAACATCTATTTTGGGTGCAGCACCAATTAGTGTTTCTCCTTAAATTTATTTAATAATAATAAGTGATGATTAGTTCTAATAATGAATTAAACTCCACATTGCTAAAAGAGGAGAATCATATCCTATGGATTTAATTAAGTACATATGGAGGGATTGCTAGAATGATGTGAAATATAATATTATCATATTATAGGACAGGGTACTTGTGCTTAGGAGATATAACTTAACCCAGAATTTATTTATTTTAATTAAAGGTTAGCGTCCATACTAATCTAATTAACGGAAAAAAGAAGAAGAAAAAAAACCATGGTGAGGGTTAGTGTTGGAATCTTCTGCCGCAGCATAGAAAATAAGGAGAAAGAGGGGCACTTTGTTCCCACTACTTGAGTGGTCTTGTTTTGTGTGACGTTTTTGTAGACCCTTTTATTGTATGCTTCTTCTTCTGATTTAGATAAGGGAGCCAGCACTAGTACTAGCTCATACACATCAGCCATCATATTGCAATGCACCAAACCAAACACATATATTACTTTCAGGGCTAATGTTTTCTTCGCCAAAATGTCCGATAATTATATCGTCAAATTGTGAATATGCATAACTGATTAAGTTATGCGGTTTAAATTCACAATATAACAACATAAATATTTATCTGACGTAGACGTTAGATACATACCAAATCTTAAATTGGAGCAGTGAGTCCTAAAATGCCCTAAGTGCTGCATATATTCTCGTACTTTTCTCATATATATTGCAAGTTTTATTAGGGGTAAGGAAACTTATTAGACAATGAGCCAAATGGAGAGTGATTGCTTCACTGTAAAGACTAATGGGACAGACTTAAGTCGTTTTCTCATATATATGCGCATATAAAACCAGCACATTTCCAAGGGACCCTTTGGTTTATATTCGGATAAAGTCTCTTCCCTTTCACCAAATCTTGCATGCTATATACATATAGATGCAAATTGGTATGAAAACTACACGATGGAATAAAGCCTTTCAAAATCTGCCCCCAAATCCAAGCTGCTGCGATTCAAATTCAAATTCAAATGCAAATCCAAAATTCTGTTTTTTCTTAATTATTCTGATCTGATTTCGAATTGGAATCCAACCCACTTTGTGTTGGCCTTTGGAATTCACAAAAGATCAGTTGTTACAGTTAGGGGGTGTTTAAAAAAATAAAATAATTATTCTCACACAAGAGTCATCATCCATAATGGAAAATGGAGGAGGCCACTGAGAGAGAGGCCTTCAAATATTCCTTCTGGAAATTGGACAAAGTTAATTAGGCACACACAGATTCACTTGTTGTATCAAACATTAAATCCACTTTTCTGGATCCATGTATGCCATTGCCAGTTGAACAATTGGATTTACAACAGATTGAGGAATATATATATAGCAAATCTAGTTTCCTTCTCTCTGAGCTAATAAGATCTTCATGATTTAGACTAAATTTTATCAGATCATGCCTAATGAATCTGTCGGCTCCTATAAAAGATTTTTTGACATCTCCTTTAGTCCAGTTACACCGGAGTTCCATCTCCCTCCTTGACAGTAAAGTAATATCAAAATATTTAAAATAAAATTAAAAAAAAAGAAAAAAAAAGGCCGCTTTGATACTATCACTTTGAAAGAAATATTGGGCCTAATGTTCAGCCCATATGTGCTTGAGCAAAATCCAGGCTTAACTAGGGTTTTGGGCCATGAAATTTCATTGTCCAGGCTTAAGAAGAACTTATACTTGACCCATCTAGAGAAGGGAAGGAGCTTTGGACCTTTTAGATCCCACCTATTTTCAGCTATATTTTGGGCCATGCAAGCATTCAAGCTTACATTAGATAGATAGATCAGGTTATACTAGATAGATAGATGAAGAATTCTACAGTGAGGTACTTATATATGACCCTTAGATGAGGCTCTACATTTTAATTGTTGGATCAAATTAGATAGTCATTAGATTATTAATGGCCCTCACTATAGAATGACTCATAGATAGATACACATCAAATATGTTTTTTTTTTGGGGCAATATTGACCATTGATGATTAGATTTGTTTTGCGGGTTGATTCTACACCATTCGAGCTTCCTTTTCTCTCCTCTTCCTCAATCCCTATGAAAAAGACATGAGTAAAAAGACCACGCTTGGGGGGTGTTGGCCAAAAGCCCTTTGATGCTTAAGTCAGTTAATTGGATCTTGAGAAAGATACGACAAAGTAAAAGAAAGGATGGAGCTCTTCTCTCATGGGGAGAGCTAGGTGCCCGGAGCCATGTGTGACGGTGATTGGAGCCGTGAAGGATATGGGAGAGAATTGTGTGAGAGAAGAGTGAATTTCTCGGGTAAAAATCAGATTACCTTGTATGTGTGATGTAGCCATGTATTTATAGTGTTCTTGCCTTCTAGAGTTTTTCAGAGAATAATTCCCATACGGAAGGGAATTATTCTCTCCCTTAAATGGGGAGATTGGATCAATCAGAGAGATTTAACAAAGATCAAATCCCTAATTTATGGTAATATCCCTATTTTCAGTCTAAACAATTGACCAATTAAATGGAATACAATTGTTGACATAAGGAATATTCCCATTGTTCACGTGGCGCCTCATAATAGGTTACCAAAATGTGTTCCCACAATTTACCAATACAAGAGAGCAAAGAAGGCGGGTCAAATTTCTTTCCTATAACTCAAGCATAGACCAACTTAGTTCTTCAATTGTAGATTTATTCAATTATTTGACGAAATTAGCATGTGAGGGACATATGTTGAAGGCACTTCACATCTCCAAATTTGGTCGAAATTTTTAATGGAGTTAAAGTTCCTTAAATTTCAACAATGGGTATATTAAACTTGAAAATCAAAATTACATTAGAATTTCACAAATTAGAAGAAAAAAAAAACAATATTTTCTTTGCCATGTCACTCATATTGGTGGATAAATGATCCACATGTTATGAAATTATAAATATACTTCTATCACACCATCAAAATTAACAGATTTTTTGATGAAGTTGACGATATGAGGCAACATGGGACATTAAACTTTGGTGGCAAAGTGGTTCACTTTGACTTCTAGGGGGCAAAATGAGACTTGATTATAGTTTTAGGGGACACTACAGTAAATAAGCCTATTCTAAAATACTCAAAGGCTTAAATGTTAAAATGGTCCCTGTGTTTTATACATTTGGCAAATTTAATCCTTGTGTTTTCAATTTGGTCAATTTAGTCCCCGTGTTTTACATCGTTAGCCAATGTTGTCCATTATGTTAAATTACCTTTAAAAAAATTCATTTAAATTTAAAAATTAATATAAAAAATTTGTTAAGTTCAGTTTATAATATTAATACAAATAACAAAATAAAAAAATAAAAAAGAAATTCTGGAAAACCAACAGACTCTGTCATTCTCTCATGCTGCTGCCACCACCCAACCCAACACCGCAACCATCAGTTGCCTGCCAATACTTATGTTGAATCTTTATTTCACTCATATTTTGTGGGGGTGGGTGGGATGGAAAAAGGAAGAGAGAAAGAGAGATGGAGGAGTTGTGGGGAGGGAAGGGAGGGCTCGGGCTAGGTTTCTTTATCCCTCCAAGGGTTTGTTGGTTCGTAAATTTGTGCCCCTCACCTGGGCAAGGGCCCGATTCTTTGATGGCTCCAAGAGATAACCCATCAAGGAAACCTCCAATTGTTGTACTCATGATATTGAAAGGTGAGGCATTTTACTGCAATGAATGTGGAGCAGAGCAAAAGAATCAGTGAAAAGAAACTGAAGAACTTGGTTGCCATGTTGGGATTCGACAATTGAGAGAGAGAGAGAGAGAGAGAGAGAGAGAGAGAGAGAGAGAGGAGAGAGAGAGAGGAGAGAGAGAATAGGGTGGTGGCTGGGACTCCTCATGGTGGTTGTGGTGGCATGTTACATAGAGGCTGTCGGGTTTCCAGATTGTTTTTTTTAACATTTTGTTATTTAATTCATATTTGTTTGCTTTGTGAATATAACTTAATAATTTTTAAAATTTTAAATGAATTTTTTAACAGCAATTTAACGAAATGGACAACATTGGCTAACAGAGTAAAACACAGGGACTAAATTGGTCAAATTAAAAATACAAGGACTAAATTTGCCAATTGACTAAAACACAAGGACCATTTTAACATTTAAGACATACTCAAATGTATGAAAATGAGGATCGATCTCAAATGCAAGGACACCAAAGAACTATTGTTATTTTGTCAAATAAAAAAGCGCCACGTCATTTATGAAACGTGAAACACAGCGTTTGCGGTGTGCTTGATTAACACGCTAGACTTGTCCCTTCGCAGTTTCCCTAGGCCTTCAACGAACCACTTGTCTCCTCCATTACGCGCCATGTGTTCTGTTTTTCTTAAGCTCTCGCTCTCTCTAAAACCAAACCCGTCCTCTGCAAGAAGGAGCTAGACTCTCCGATTACTTGTGCTCCAGGCATTCTCCCAGAAACTGAACTTGAAGAAACCCTAGAAAAAGCGAGAGAGACTCTGGAAAGCGAATTTCAAAATGAGGACGGTCGTGTCGCGGTTGATCCATTCAAGATCATCACTTCCCAGGCTCTTGTATGTTTTGATTTCTATTTCTTTTTGCTTTGAATCCATACTCAGTTTCTTCTGTATTCTATTTTGGTCTTTGAAATGTGATTCTTTTGGGTATTGATGTTTTGTTTCGCGAATAGTAATGCCATGTTTGGCTGTCGAGAGAGAGTGGGAAAATAATGGAAAACCCTAAACAGATTGATTGGGATATTAGAGTATTAAGTTTCATTTTTAAATTCAGTTTTTGGGTTTGCTTGACAATTATCTGGGTTCATGGATACGCTTTACTGTTTTCGTATTATTTACTTCCACGGGTTCTCCTACATTATTGAATTTGTGGGTGGAAATTGACAAGCTAATTATTCCTTGATATTTTTTAATGTTTATTTTTCTTTGGAATGTTTTTGTTTCCAGAATCTAGTAGGATTCTAACAATGATTATTTCCTGTATTGTGATTTTCAAATATCTCATTTCTGTAACTTCAGTATAATGGATGCACCCAGGAATGGGAGGTATCTCTCAACAGACTCCGGTAAGGTTGATGAACCCTTCAAAGTTGAGGAAGCAGAGACTGTAAACATTCCCCCTCCTCCAACAGAGAAGGTACTATCTTGTTGTGAAGACTATCGAACTGTTATTCCGTCTATATTTTCGTTTTATCCATCTCTGAGCCATTATATTTTCTTTAACTTGTATGATTCTTAATTCAGTTGCTTGTGTTGGGTGGAAATGGATTTGTTGGCTCACATGTTTGTAGAGAGGCATTAGATCGTGGATTGTCTGTTGCCAGCCTTAGCAGGTATGACTTTTCTCTATATAATTGTTAAGTTGCTTCACCTATTGATGCTTAGGAATTATTCATCAGCATTGATCAGTTTAGGCTTGTAGCCGATCTGAATGCTTTCTATATCAGAAGGGAATAATAATTCTGTAGCTGCCTATTTACTAAGAGGAAAATACTACACTTCCATCTCCATATATTTGATTATTATGTTTGATTGAATACCATCTTATTCCTAATGCTTTCTTATTTTCCTTCTCAGGTCTGGTAGGTCATCATTACATGATCCATGGGCCAGCAATGTGACCTGGCATAAAGGTTTGCTTTCTTGCGTAGTCTTTTCTTGATGACCTCACTCTTTTTCGGGTAGCAGTTTCTTAAAAAAAATTTCCTTTTCCAGGAAACCTTCTATCACCTGAGTCATTGAAGGATGCTCTCGATGGTGTCACGTCTGTTGTATGCATTCTCTTCATGCTCTGTTTTACTTGACTGTCATTAGCCAATACGTAGCAAAGACACATGCACACACTGACACTTTCTCTATCCATGTAATGTATTGTTTCCCCCCTTCCATTTGTAGTTCAGAATGTGCTTATTGTATAGATTATAGAATGAAACTCTCTCTTACTTATCATGCCACTTAGCTTTCTTTCCTGGGTGATATGTTTGATTTGTCTTCCTAATGAGTTTTCTTGTCCTAGATATCCTGTGTTGGTGGGTTTGGCTCCAATTCTTACATGTATAAGATTAATGGGACTGCTAATATAAATGCAATTAGAGCTGCTTCTGAACAAGGTATATATTCATATATGTTTCAAATTTCATTTTTCTATTGGCAACTTCCTTAGTACCTCTATTAAACTATTGCCGTTGATCCTACAGGTGTGAAACGATTTGTGTATGTCTCTGCTGCTGATTTTGGTGTGGTAAATTACTTACTGCGAGGATATTATGAGGGGAAGGTACCATACTGAATGATAGCAACCTATTTGCTTTGTTTAAGTTTACTTGTACGAGACATTTTAATGCTGGGACTCTTTTCTTAATAAATGTTTGTCTTTTACTCGTACCCATTTCACCATGCTCTAGTATTTTTGCTGGGAACAATTTTTAATGTTTTTAATGTTATCTGACACAAATTCCTTTGCTGCATCTTGTTCAATCTAGAGAGCTGCAGAAACAGAGCTACTAACCAAATTCCCTTATGGAGGTGAGCTTTCTTACTCTGTCAGATGAACATCTTATACCTAGCTGTTCATTTATCAGATAAATGGCTAAGATCTGAGAGATTAATAAACTTGCCTGGAAATTTAACAATTTGTTACATATCTTGTCCCTCTAATTTCAATCGATATCTTCTTAAAAACATTAATTTACTATGTTTCTTGAAACCAATAACGGGTGACTAGAGTATTAGTTATAGGGACCGTTTATGTTTTGTATAATAATGGAATCTTCTATTACATGAAATTTTACTTGCGTTTTTCAGGAGTGATTTTGAGGCCTGGATTTGTTTATGGGACTCGAAGCGTTGGCAGCGTAAAGTTACCTCTCGGAGTAATCGGTTCTCCACTGGAGATGGTAAAGTGCTAGTTCTTCATATATTCCACATGTAGTTCCCCACTTATAATTCGCCTGAAACCTGAGTTAGCAAGATTTTAACGGAAAGGGGAACTTGATATAAAATATCCAGAAACTTATTGTAATCATCTCTCTCAGCCGATTTCTACTAGTCCCAAACAAGGTTTTTTTGTCCCTTTTTTTCTTGAACAGAGATACTCAGGTTAAGAAACCTCATGTTATAAACTGATTCACATTCATTTCTTTCTGAGAGTGAAAAGTTATGTCAACTAATTCATATTGAATTTACTGGCAGTTATTCCAACACACAAGACCTCTGAACCAGCTGCCACTTGTTGGGCCTCTCTTTACTCCTCCAGTGAATGTTACAGCAGTGGCAAACGTTGCTGTTAGAGCAGCTACTGATCCCGTCTTCCCTCCTGGGATTGTAGATGTCTACGGAATTCAGCGTTACAACCAGAAGTCGAAGTAGACGCGTTAAATCCCTTCCGTTTTTTGTTTTGTTCTTTCAACAGAGAGTGTGATGTAAAGCTGTCAAAGTTTCTTTCTCATGAACATTGTATCCGTTTTTTTCCCCCACCTTTCTGATGCAATCATTAATAAATTTGTTAAAACTACAGATTCACTGTAGTTCAATAATTCTTCCCAAGTTGTTCTGTTAAAAGTTTGACTGGAAGAGGATGACACTGACTTTTTCATCACTTGATGTTTCAATGTATATCATGGTCCCTTGCAACCTGGGATTAAAATGGCAGTTGTGTTCTTTCAAAGAGTTGCTTGCAGGTTTTAGTGCTTAATCGCTATTTGGGCCATTAGTTATAGGCACAAAACAATAATGGGCCTAAATGGATTCGGAAAAAGATATAACCCGACCCGGGTGAAAATAAATAAAAATACTTCAAGGCAAAAATTAAGTCGATAAATTTGCAAATCTCAGCGCTAGTCTCAAACCAATATCGTATTTCTGAGAGAGAGAAGATGAACCATAACCAAAACCAAAACCAGAACCAGCAATCGAGCGAAGGCAGCAGGCACGATGACGACGCGGCCCTCACCGAATTTCTTGCTTCCTTAATGGACTATACCCCCACTGTAATACTTAATTCCATCAATTTCATTTCATTCAAATTCCGATCATATCAAATCAAGTCCAAATCGTGATTTTTCTTTTTTCAGATACCCGACGAGCTTGTGGAGCACTACTTGGCCAAAAGCGGCTTTCAATGCCCCGACGTTCGATTGTAGGTACTTCTTCTTTTTTTCTGTTAAGTTAATGTTGTTTTTAATTTCCAATTTTTGGGGAAGATTTTACGATGAGATAAGCTGAGCCATCAGTATCTGTTAGGGTTAGGCTTAGCCAAGATTTTACTTATTTTCATGCTGCAGAGAAGGGCCTGCCTTTTGATTTGTTTAGTTTATATCAATTCATCTTCAACCATTTTCGGAGCGAGCATATACCTAGAGCTTGAAATTTATCACTATTTGTTGGTTAAGTTAGTGCTGTGGCAGTGAAATAGAAAATTGAATATGCCTTTTTGTTTATTGATTGTTCAAGTACACGAAACTTGCTAATCAAGGTTTGACTAGTCTGGGTAAAGTTGTATGGGTTTGTGAAGGACAGGCGTTTAGGCGTAGGTAGAGTCTGTTACGCGTATGGTAGTACTCGCTCTTTTTTTATCTGGGATCTTTTCCTTCTTTCATTTTGGGTATCTATCTTCTCTTTTGCTTTCTGGCTTTTATTCCCATTAGCTGTTTCAGATTTGTGCTAAATGGATGTTAAGAAGAAGTTTCTGTTTGATGCTTAAAATTTTAAGCCTTTTGACTTAGGTTACAATCATTGATGTAGAGGAGCTTTTGGTGTAACTTTCTTTTGAGCCGACAGTGGCAAATGCTACTAAATTTATTTATATTTTTGAATTATGAATTGGATGTATTTTTCTGCATATAAGATGATTGATTTTTTTTTTTTTTTTTTTTTTTTTTTTTTTTTATTTAACCCTATTTGCAGAATTAGGCTGGTAGCTGTTGCCACGCAAAAGTTTGTTTCTGAGGTTGCAACTGACGCTCTTCAGTAAGCCACTAAATTCTTCTCCTCTTGGTTCATGACACAAGTTCACAGGGAGGCACATGTGTAAAGACCAAATTTTTTTCCTGAGTTAGGATATATAATTGAAGACTATTAAATTTTTGATCTCTCAAATGTTAGACGAGAAATATGTAACTACACTCATAGGTTCTGTTGTTGGCCCAAAATTATTTAGCTACACAACTTGGTTGTTGCACTTGTAGTTAGCCAGTGTCTAAGCTATTACTAGTGGAAAAGATATTTACATGCTCATGCCTCTTAACAGGCAATGCAAAGCAAGACAAGCTTCTGTAGTCAAAGACAAAAGGGACAAACAACAAAAGGTACTCTAATAGTTTTCCTGGTGAGATGTGTTTTATATTCTGCCTAATTATGGCTACTCTTAACTTAACTTTGATTTTGAAACAGGATAAGCGCCTAATATTGACGATGGAAGACCTTTCAAGGGCGTTGCGTGAGGTAACCAAGATTTTAGTTATTTGAGTCGTATGTTTGCATAAGTCTGGAATCAATGGCATTATCTAATATTGATAAAGGTTCTGGTCAGTTTTGGACTAACTAAATGTTCGCTGAATGGCCTGGTCTGTAATTGAGATTCTCTGGAATCCACCTATAATTTGTGTGCAATGTCAAGCTGGTTTTGTTTTTACTTATTCTTCATTGGTTAACTTTCGCTGAATTAATATGCTCCCCTTGTTATTCTTAATTGAGCAGTATGGTGTTAATGTGAAGCACCAAGAATATTTCGCTGACAGCCCTTCAACCGGGTTGGATCCTGCATCAAGAGAAGAATGATTTGAATTGTATTTCTGTTATTCCATTTTCAGCTTGTGTGGGGTTATAACTAATAGCAGTGGTGCTAGATGACTAGGTGATGCTCAATCACTCTTTCTTCTGCTTTTATGTATGCACTTTCAATTTTTTCAGACTGAAGGTATATTTCTTGATATGAAGTAGTTAAGTTGTACATCGATGGAATTATACAGTAAAAAGACTGCATATCTGATTATTTGATTGTCACATGTGCTACTTGAAGAAACTGAATGGCTACTTGGTGATTAGTTTAGTAATTGTCTTCTAGAAAGTTCTCTTGCTGGGGAACACTTGGTAATTAATTTGACCAGATTTTGTACCCACGTTCCTAATTAGTTGGGGAAGACTTGCTCCAAATATGCAAAATAATGCTAGCATTTAAAAAATAATAATAATATGATTCGCTGTCTCTCAAATTGTGAAGACCACGGAACAAAGCTAGAAAATTGGAAAGAAAACTTACAGAATGGAACAATAAAGCAGTTTACTATAGAACATTGACCAAAATTTAAAAAGAAAAAGGGCAAGTTTCGGGATTGGTTGGTCCAAAAAAAGAAAGAAAAACATTTGTGACCGTTACGGCAAATGCTTGATTGAAGCCTAAGTTAACATCATCATATACCCTCCCACTTGGTTCTTGACCCCAAAAATATGGGGGTATGGGGGATCTTCATGTTACAACAGGAGCCAGGCCAACTGGCTTCATAGTTTAAGCGATATGTCAGCTTCAGTTTGATGCTACTAGATGCTTGAATGGAGTATTTTATATCACATCTCTCTGACTTGGGTATTGGTACTTTGATTGGGTCAAGGTAAACAGAACGGGCAGAGGATTGAGTTCGTTTAGCCTGTTGACAAACTTGACAAACCGTAACTTTTTGAGCATCGAGAATAATAAGAAAATGTTTGAAACAATCAATCATGTAAATATTTATACCAAGATTTTGCGTCGAGCAAGGAATCCGGTCACCCATCCTACCATACTATATAAAAATGTCTTCCAAATGAATGACATTATCGAAGCCTGCAAAACAGATCGAAACATGAACCTCTTTGGTTCTTTCTTCTTCCTTCTTTCTTTAAGCATTAAGTTTTCCTTGGTCATGGGACAGAACAGAACAGTAATCCCAGTGAATGTTGGCGTGGTTCTTGATGACCTCGATTCACTAACCGGAAAAGTTTGGTTGAGCTGCATCAAAATGGCCCTCGCAGATTTCTATGCCTCCCATGGTTCCTCCACAACTAGGCTTGCCTTGAGCATCAGGGACCCTAGAGAAGATGTTGTAGATGCAGCTGCTGCAGGTGTCTCTCTCTTTTTCTCCTTTTGGGTTTCATTTGATCTTTCTCTGCCTTTTCTTCTGTTTTCTAATGAGAAAGAGGTGATTCTGTTAACTTCTTCTGCCTTTTGTTTCTGTTTTCTATTGAAACACAGCTTTAGACCTGATCAAGAATGTTCAAGTGCAAGCAATCATAGGACCTACATCATCCATGCAAGCCAACTTTGTAATTGATATTGGAGACAAAGCCAAGGTTCCCATAATCTCATTTTCAGCAACGAGTCCTTCCCTTACTTCCATTCGGAGTTCATACTTTTTCCGAGCTGCACAGAATGATTCCTCTCAAGTCAAAGCCATAAGTGCTATTGTTCAAGGCTTTGGGTGGAGAAGAGCTGTGCCCGTCTATGTAGACAACGAGTTTGGTGAGGGAGTTTTACCATCCTTGGTCGATGCTTTGCATGACGTTCAAGCTCGTGTCCCCTACCGTTGTGCCATACCTCCAATGGCCACTGACGACCAACTTACAGCAGCGCTTTACAAGTTAATGACTATGCAAACTAGGGTCTTCATTGTGCACATGTCGCAGTCTCTTGGGGCTAGGCTTTTTGCCAAGGCACAAGAGATTGGAATGATGAAAGAAGGCTATGTTTGGATCATGACCAATGGGTTAACCAATCTTGTAAGTTCGACTGATGCTTCAGTCATCAAGTCAATGCAAGGTGTATTGGGTGTGAGGACTAGTGTGCCGAAAACAGAAGAGCTTATCGATTTTAGAGTTCGATGGAAAACGCAATTCCAACAGCAAAATCCAACCATCATTGATGTAGAATTGGATGTTTTTGCTCTCTGGGCTTATGATGCTGCTTTTGCATTAGCCATGGCAGTTGAGAATGATGGGACTGGGACTGGCAGAATCTCTAGCTTCCAAAACACAAATGCTTCCATCGACTCATCAACTGATCTTCTGACTTTCGGTGTATCTGAAAACGGCCCGAAACTTTTCCAATCCTTATCAAACACCAAGTTTAAAGGCCTTGCAGGAGACTTCAGTTTTGTCAATGGGCAACTACAATCTCCAGTCTTTGAAATAGTCAATGTGAATGGCAATGGAGCAAGAGAAATTGGGTTCTGGACACCAGAGAGTGGACTTTTGAAAAAATCCATGAACTCAACAAACACAAACAGAACATATTCAACTTCAAAATCCAACATGGGACCCATCATATGGCCAGGAGATTCCACCTCAGTTCCCAAGGGATGGGAGATCCCGACAAACGAAAAAAAGTTGAGAGTGGGAGTTCCTGTGAAGATTGGCTCTCCTGAGTTTGTTAAGGTGGTACGTGATCCTAGTACCAACAACACACTTGTTTCTGGCTACTGCATTGACATCTTCAATGCTGTCATGGAAAAATTACCATATGCTGTAACTTATGACTTCATTCCCTTTGCAAAGCCTGATGGTACAAGTGCTGGCACTTACAATCAGTTGGTGGATCAAGTTTATCTTGGGGTAAAATCATTTCAGCCTCATTTAATTTTTTCAAGATTGAAATTCGAAATGAAAACAACCCGGTTCGATTCCTAATTTTCTGATCAAAATTGAAATGGTGACATCTTTAATATTTGTTGACATCTTTGATTTGTTGACAGAACTTTGATGCTTTGGCCGCAGCCACAACAATAAGAGAGAACAGGTCCTTGTATGTGGACTTTACCTTGCCATACACGGAATCAGGGGTAGTAATGGTAGTTCCAACAAAAGATAGCAAGAGCCAGAATGCATGGGTTTTCTTGAAGCCTTTGACATGGGACCTCTGGCTTACAAGTTCTTGCTTTTTCATCTTCATTGGTTCTGTGATTTGGGTTCTTGAACATCGGATCAATGAAGATTTCCGCGGCCCTCTCTCGAATCAAGTCGGAACAGGCTTGTGGTTCTCCTTCTCAACCATGGTTTTTGCACACAGTAAGTAATAGTATAGTACCCTTATTAAGAAGCATATGTTGAATTACCAATTGTTTGTTTTATCATTCATCATTTTTTTTACTTCAATTAATTTACAGGGGAGGCAGTGGTTAGCAACTTGGCTAGATTTGTGGTGATAGTATGGGTATTTGTTGTGCTCATACTCACTCAAAGTTACACAGCTAGTCTGACTTCACTCTTAACAATCCAAGAGCTCCAGCCAACTTTTACCGATTTAAACCAGCTTCTAAAGAACAAGGAGAGTGTGGGCTACCCGAAGGGCTCTTTCGTCTACCAACTTTTGTTGAAACAAGGTTTTGATGATTTGAAGATTAAGGCTTATCAATCTCCAGAAGAATGTGATGACCTTTTGACAAAAGGGAGTGCAAAAGGTGGCATTGCTGCTGCTGTTGATGAAACCCCAAACTTGAGGCTTTTTATTGCAAAGTATTGCTCCAAATACACCATCATTGGACCAATATTTAAGACTAATGGCTTTGCCTTTGTAAGAGCTACCTCTCTTTCTCACACACACAACCACAAACACAACCACGATCACAAGTCTATAAATCAAAAGCACACATTTTTAGCACTTAATCAATCATATTGATTCACAGTCTGACAACATAAGAACATCTTCTGTGTGTATATATAGGTATTGCCCAAAGGTTCGGCTCTTGTACCTGATGTTTCAAGGGCAATTCTGAACATGACCGATGGAGAAGAGATGAAGGAGATTGAAAACAAATGGTTTGGAAAACAAGCCACTTGTGAAAATACAAAATCACCATTCTCTGATTCCAAAAGTCTTGGCCTGAATAGCTTCTGGGGCCTCTTACTCATTGCTGGGGTGGCTTCATCCTCAGCTCTTATGATATCTGTAGCCACATTCCTTTTTATGCACAGACACATCCTAATGACAAGAGGCACCTCTGTATGGAAAAGAATTGGTGTCATGCTTAGAATCTTTCTCCAAAGAGACCTTTCCTCCCACACTTTTAGAAACAAGAATTCGGGTCATGCTGTGGAGGCCTCACCAGTCTCCTCCAGCATTGGCCAACCAAGTCCCTTAAGCCTCTCAAACCCCACAGGTCCAGCCTCACCTTTCTTCAGTGAACAAGGAACACCTGTTTCTGTTGCTGTTTACCAAAACCCAGAAATACCTACAATTCCTGATCAAGGCTAGGAGATCAAGAAGCCATTAATATATAATAATCAAAATTTTAATTGTAATTTGTATGTATGATGAGTATGATATAGTCATCCATGATTTTAGGTAGCTTATCTGTATTTTGTTGATTATGTCCATAGTTTATATGGTTGGAGGTAAATTAATGTAAGTTGGAGTTAACTTGATTTTTAAAGACATGAGTTTTTGTTTTCCTTGATACAAGCGATTCTCTCACAAGTAACAACATGAATTGAAAATTACATAAAATTCTAAAATGACGGAATTTAGATTTCCATAATTTCAATTTCCGGCGATTGAAGATTTCAGTGTTTGGATTTATATACGTCAAATTTTGTAAATGACATAATTTTGTAAATGGCAGTGCCACTATGGAAATTGTGAAATGACCCATATTTTGGTGGAAATTAAACTCAGGAATTTGATGCCCCAATTTCCACGATTTTTTCCGCACATCATTTAATAAATATCTTAGGCTCAAACGTGGGTAAGCACAAGAGAGGAAATAGCCCAATTGCTTCAACTAGAGTAGCCCAACCAAAATAACTCATTA